TATAGAAAAAAGCAAGCCATTTTAGCAAAGTTCCTGACCAGCAACACAGTTTTATTCTGTAAACATATATGTTACATGTTCCAATAATTTAAGTGAATACCAGGTTTTATACATTTCACTGTATACTATCAACGTCAGACTAGAAACAAAGCAACTGGGTTGCTTTACAGTTGTCAGGCTCCCACATTTTAAAACCTTTTTTCGAAAGATACAAGTGGCATTAGAAACATTGCAGAAAGAAATACAAAGAGAAATAAGAGCACTATTGAAATAATTCAAGTTGCTAGGAAATTAGAAAAGGGGCGAAGGAGAAAATACGTATGAGGAAGGGCCATCCTGAACAAACGGCTCTTGAAGAAAACTACCAAATCTTTCAAGCCTAGTCCAGTTCAAATACTATTCCCGAATGCCTCGTTTATTCCCAACTCCAAGCAGCAAAATATATCTCAATTATGATGCAGATGAACTATGAAATGTTAAAGCCTAAAACATGACAAACTTGATTCTTGACAATTAAAAAAATGCTGAGAAATTAAAAAAAAGTATAAAGGAATAAGATTATTTTTTAAAGTTTTTTTTGGTTGAATACAGGTTGAATTTCAGTTCACAGTATATTTAAGTTATTTAGATTTTATGTCACAGATGAATTATAGCAGAAGTGGCAGGAAAGATAAGTGATGGATGGGACGGTAAAGCAACCATTCTTCATGTTCAGTTTTCACAATGGAAGGGATTTCTCCAAGAATGAGGCAGAAGTTTAGCTTGGAATGATCTCTGTTCTCCACCTCACCCTCAAAGCACCCTCAAAGCACAGTATGGGCAAAATTTCTAACTTGGGAGTCCCATGTTAGCACTCCCTGCTAAGAGGACTGGTTGGCCGGTGATGGATGGATGGATGGAAGGAAGGAAGGAAGGAAAGAAGAAAAGAAGGAAAGGATGAAAGGGTGGAAGGGAAGAATAGAATGAAGGAAGAAGGAAGGAAGGAAGGAAGGAAGGAAGGAAGGAGAAGGAAGGAAGGAAGGAAGGAAGGAAAAGGGGAAGGAAGAATGAAGGAAGGAAAGAGAGAAGGAAGAAAAAGGGGAAGGGAAGAAGGAGAGAAGAAGGAAAGAGGGAGGAAGAGGAAGGAAAAGAGAAGGAAGGAAAACAAAAGAGAAGGAAGAAAGGATGAAAGGGTGGAAGGAAAGGGAGGAAGGAAGGAGAGGGAGGGAGGGAGAAGGGAGGGAGGAAGGAAGAAGAAAGAGAAGGAAGGAAGGGAAGAGAAGAGAAGGAAGGAAGGGGAAGGAGGAAGAAGGAAGGAAAGAGAGAAGGAAGCAAAGACAAAAGGGAAGGAAAGAAAGGGAAGGAAGGGAAGGGAAGGATGGAAAGGGAGGAAAGGAAGGGAGGAAGGAGGGAAGGAAAAAGAGAAGGAAGAAAGGGAGGAAGGAAGAAAGGAGAAGGAGGAAGGAAGGAAGAGGAAGGAAAAGGTGGAAGGAATGGAGGGAGGGAGGGAGAAGAGGGAAGGAAGAAGAAGAAGGAAAGAAGGATAGGATGTTGAGAGAGAGGAGGGCCTGAGAAAAGAGCCCAAAGGGGCATCTGGCCTGGGTTTGCCCATACTTAGCATAGAGCCATGAGCATTTTCTGCTCCAGCTTCCATTTTAAGCATGGACTACAATGGCATTAGCAAGAAGGGCACTGCCATTTGGAGATTTAAACCATCATCTAGATCAGTGGTTCTCAATCTGTGGGTCCCCAGATGTTTTGGCCTTCAACTCCCAGAAATACTAACAGCTGGTAAACTGGCTGGGATTTTTGGGAGTTGTAGGCCAAAACACCTGGGGAGCCACAGGTTGAGACCCACTGATCTAGATAGAGGATAGTGCATTGCTTCTGTCACTACTTCTATTCATATTTCAGAGCTACTTGTCAAGGAAAGGAGGGCAAGCTGAGATGGAGCCCTAAAACCAGAATGAAACAGTAAGAAGTGTGATTACAGTTGAATCTTGTGGGAATTACATCCTGCCTTTACTGCATATGAGGGATTTTCTGCTGAAACGCTAGACAAAGGATACCATTCCATATTTGAGTTTATATAAGAGGGTGAACAAGCCTTTGCAGCTGCTTTCCTGCTCCACCATTGAAAACTCTTTAAGAAGAAGGGTGTGGACAATTAATAGATCTTCCAATGTTTTGTTTTTATATTGGAAGAAGTGGCTGGGATTTACTGGCTTCAAATGATCCTTGGTCTTATATTTCTGATTTAATAAATTACCATTTAGTCGCCACGAGATAAAGAGAAGCAGGTCAGTTCTGTTTTTCAAAAAATCCTCATCGTTTTAGTCTTAGACCACCTAAAATAACTATGAATGCAACCAGTCTAAATCCACATCTGACCCTTAGCTTGCCCCTTCTGAGACATCCCTTTGGTCTCCTGTTCCACCGGGTTGCATTTGCCCTGTCTCTAAATATGTTTCCTGGTGGAAAGAATGACTAATAGTGCACCTAAAAAGTACCATCCTTCATTTACTTGTTATATGTAAAATCTTTGACCAGCCTCATTGGACACAGTTTATTCTAAGCACAAAAGTGGGGCTGTGCTTACTTTCATGAGAAAGCCACCATTAGTCTGGCTCCAATGTGAGAAAGGGCTAAAGCTTTAGTGTGGAAGTCAAGTTATTTCATCAGGTGGAGTTAAGAGTGGGTTGCTGTGAATTTTCCAGGCTGTATGTCCATGTTCAAGAGTGGGTTGCTGTGAATTTTCCGGGCTGTATGGCCATGTTCAAGAAGCATTCTCTCCATTGAAGATGCCTGCCATAGATGTGGGAAAAGTCAGGAGAGAATGCTTCTGAAATATGCCATACAGCTCAGAAAACTCATAGAAACCCAGTGACTGTGGCCACGAAAGCCTTCAACAACACAAAGTTAAGAGTCCTGCTCATAGTTTAGGGAGCAATGCAAAAAACAAAAGGGAAATATGGGTAAAAATGCACGTTGATAAAAGGGAATTATTCTATTTCTATAGAAATTGAAAAGGAAATAAAATGTGAATGTGTGAGAGAGGGAGAACAAGTGAATCAATTTCAAATGAAAATAAATATGTACAACAAATCCGTTTTTTCCCCTGACACTCACATACCTGCTATTACTGTATCCTATTATGTTTCTGAGATACTCACAGGGGTCTTGGTCCCCTAAATAGCATTACATCGTGCGGACATGCATCGAAAAGGAGAAAAACGCCATCCTGTTCCACCTTTCCCAAAGCCCTGATATCAAACATTTTAGCCCACACTGATTTGACACCAAAGCTTCTACTTCATCACTTTTTACAACTGTGTTGTAACAGCTGTTGAGAAGATCCTGGAAGCGACAAGACTGCAGCACATAGTTCATATAAACTATACAAAGCGAACGGTTAAACACTGCATACTTTTCTCCTGCCCTTCTAGGAAGGGAATGTTAATAAAATCTAGAAAAGATGAGAACACCATCATCTTCAATTAACTTGAAGAAAACTCCCTACTTGTCGTAACAACAATCCGCCGGTAAATTCTCCTGTCCTAGCCCACTGAAACAAATAGAAATAACCCAAGATCGGAGCGCCAGCTGCATAGCTGTTGTTATTTTCAGTGTGCAAAGGAAACCCCTTCCCCTATGGATTGTGCTCTAAAGGGTTCAGTTAAATCTAAGCTCCATATATATTCCTCAATCAATCTGTCTTTTTCCTATACATAAATCTGACCCTTTATTGCATGTTGACACTTTCTAATAACTATGTTGGAAATAATAATGAACATGAAACTGCTTCTATGCAAGTCCTATAGCAAGAATGGGTAAACTTTGGCCCTCCAGGTGTTTTGGACTTCAACTCCCACAATTCCTAACAGCCGGTAGGCTGTTAGGAATTGTGGGAGTTGGAGTCCAAAACACCTGGAGGGCCAAAGTTTGCCAATGCCTGCCCTATAGTATGGAACGGATCATGTACAGTACAAGTTATTGTGCAGACAGCAATCTAGTGTCTTCCATAACCAATCCAATTTGGTTTTGCTGTATGGCCATGTTCCAGAAGCATTCTCTCCTGATGTTTCGCCCACATCTGTGGCAGGCATCCTCAGAGGTTGTGAGGTCTGTTGGAAACTAGGCAAGTGGGGTTTATATATCTGTGGAATGTCCAGAGTTGGGAGAAAACCACTTGCCTAGTTTCCAACAGACCTCACAACCTCTAAGGATGCCTGTCATAGATGCAGGCGAAACGTCAGGAGAGAATGTTTCTGGAACATGGCCATACAGCCTGGAAAATTCACAGCAACTAAGTGATTCAGCCATGAAAGCCTTTGACAATCGAATTCAATTTGTCCTGCATTTGACTTCTGGAACCTGTTCACACATCCTCCCCCCCCCCCAACAGCCATGTTATGGGAGCTCTAATATAAATTTGGGGCTGTGAACACATGCAGTTTTCAGAAATCGATGCAGCTCTTTGCAGTGGCAAATCAAAAGATGAACTCCTCACATGATACYTTCATACGACAGGCAGACTATGGACTAGAAACTCTTACAAACACATGTTCTGTAGAGCCTATACTATTATGAATTAGATGTGTGAGCAGGTTCTCTCTCAGTTTGTTTTGGTCAACAAGGTGGCTGGAGCAAAAGGCTCTCAGATTTTAATGTTTAGATGCAACGCAGATGTGCCAACTAGACAACATTGCAGAAACACAGGCACGAAGCAAGGACTCCTATGTTTCGACAGCACCACATTTAGTTTTGCTATTAATACCCATAAGTGAGGTTCCAATGAGCATAAACAAATGACTGCAGTCCATGTTCTATGTTAAGTTTTCCCATGAGGTACTTTAAGTTTGAGATTAAATCCATCTAGAAAATAGTATCAACATATCTATATAAATCTCTCCCAGTCATCCTTCTTAAATAGGAAATAGCTATTATGACTGTCAGTACGGCTTTGCTAATACAACTTCTTCTTTGATATCATATCCAGATTTTTTGTTAGGATGTTTGAATACCATTTTGTGCCTTTTTAATGTCAAAAACTGTTTAAATGCTACATTACCAAAAAGAAAGCAAGTTTAAGGTCTGCATCAGAGATGTATAAAATTACCTTTATCTGTTGCGGCAGCCTAGAAATTCAATCATCACAATGCCTACGAAGGGTGTTCCAATTACAAAAGAAAGGACCGATTGTCTTGAGATTAAAAAGAGAGACAGGCTGACAACTAAGAAGCCTCATGTTGCGGGAGGACATGCAGTAAATCAACAGGTAGGACGTGTCTCCCCCAACTTTAGTGCAACACTACACACTTTAATAACACTATCATTGCAGAGGTCATGCTGTGGTAGCATTACACTTCTGAGAAGATTGGCACTGGGAACTTGAGTGCAGTCAGTGACCAGGAGGAAAAAGGCAAGATGTGAACAAGACACGGTGAGCCTTCAAAGCTATTTCAGGTGTTCCGGAGGCATGGACGCGATAAGGACAGAGGAAGGAGAACGTCCGTTCCATTCAGATAATACACCGTCCTTGAACATTAGATTCCTGGCAGGAAGTGGAACGCCTGCGTCGGCAGAAGCCGGATGTGAAAGTATGCTTGCAGTAGAAGAGAAACTGACCTCCGAAAGTAACTCCATGGTTGAAATGCTTTCCTGGGGAAGGAAAAAGGGGAAACCGTTTCAACAAAACTACAAACTAGCTTTGGGTTTCACTCCAGTTCAAAAACTGACTTCCTCCAGATTAGAGTGTCTTAAGTTTTTTTTTACTCATAACCCACATATATAATGGATGGAGGGAATGGGGAAGGGGAGAGAAACACATAAACATGTGAGAGAGGGAAGGGAGGGAGGGAGACATGCGCACAAGGGCATTTTTTTTGGGTCGTGTCAGGAGCGACTTGTGAAACTGCAAGTTGCTTCTGGTGTGAGAGAATTGGCTGTCTGCAAGGACGTTGCCCAGGGGATGCCCGGATGTTTTGATGTTTAGAGATAAAGACATGTGTGTGAGGAAGAAAGAGAGAAGGCAAAGCAGAGAGATGTGTACACGTGTGTGGGAGAGAAAACAAAACAACTCCAAAATACAGTTATGGTGACCCATTTGGGGTCCCAACCCATAGCTAAAGAAGCTGAGCTGTAGATCAGAGCTTCTTAAACCTTTTCAACTCACAACCCCTTTTTTACTGATAAATGTTTATGTATGAAGCTGCTGGGAGAGATCATCCAGAGTTTTGGAGTTCGATATCTGTACGCAGATGACATTCAAATCTATTACTCCTTTCCGCCTACTGCTAATGGGACTGTGCAGGTCCTGAATTGGTAGCTTGGCAGCTGTGACGGTCTGTATGAGGGCAAACAAATTGAAACTGAATCTAGACAAGACAGCCCCTTCTCTCCTGACCTTCAGGAAAAAACTTAAGACGTGGCTATGGGACCAAGCTTTTGACAACTAATTTGGAACAGTGCACAGTGATTATGAATCAAAGTGATTTACAAATGGCCCTGGATTATGATTTGGATCAGGGGTCCTCAAACTTTTTAAACAGAGGGCCAGGTCATAGCCCCTCAAACTCTTGGAGGGCCAGATTATAATTTGAAAAATACATGAATGGATTCCTATGCACACTGCACATATCTTATTTGTAGTGCAAACAAATTAAAAACAATACAATAATTAAAATGAAGAACCATCTTAATAAATATAAATTTATTAGTATTTCAATGGGAAGTGTGGGCCTGCTTTTGGCTGATGAGATAGGATTGTTGTTGTTGTAGTATGTTTTTGAGTCATTATAGGCTTAGGTTGACCCTAAGGAACGGCTGGGTAAATGACCTTGGAGGGCCGCATCCGGCCCCCGGGCCTTAGTTTGAGGACCCCTGATTTGGACGGTGTAATTTTAAATGATGTTTAATAATGGATTTTTTATTTGATTTTAAATTGTAATAGTTTATTTTAATAATATGGCATCAAATTGGTGCCTGTTGTAAGGCCACCCTGAGCCCCCTTCGGGGTGAGAAGTGTGGGGTATAAATATGGTAAATAAGTACCCGGTGGTGCAATGGGTTAAACCCTTGTGCTGGCAAGATTGCCGACCGACAGGTCAGTGGTTCCAATCCAGAGAGTGGGTTGAGCTCCTGTCTGTCAGCTCCAGTTCCCCATGCAGGGACATGAAAGAAGCCTCACACAAGGATGGTAAGACATCAAATATCTGGGCATTTCCTGGGCAACGTCCTTGCAGACAGCCAATTCTCTTGCACCAGAAGCAACTTGTAGTTTCTCAAGTCACTCCTGACACGAAAATAAATAAATAAATAATGCGACCCCAAGTATATAAAGGATGGAAAGAATGGGGAAGGGGAAAGACACATACACATGCACACATGCGAGAGAGAGAGAGAGAAAGAGGGAAAAGCAGAAAGAGATGTGTGCGCAAGAGAAAAGGAAAAGCACAGAGAGGTACATGATTATTCCATTTGGGATCCCAGCCCAATACTTTAAGAAGCTTTCCTCTAGAACAGGGGTCCTCAAACTAACTACATCCCTCCAAGATCATTTACCCGGCCCTCACTCAGGGTCAAACTAAGACTGAAATGACTTGAAAGCACACAACAACAACAACAATCCTATCTCATCAGCCAAATCAGGCCCATTTAAATGCTAATAAGTTTATATTTGTTAAAATTGTTCTTCATTTTAATTATTGCATTGTTTTTAAGTGTTGTTTTTGCACTACGAATAAGATATGTGCAGTGTGCATAGGAATTCATTCGTATTCTTTTCAAATTATAATCCGGTCCTCCAACAGCTTGAGGGACTGTGACCTGGCCCTCTGTTTAAAAAGTTTGAGGACCCCTGCTCTAGAGGGACTAACACAGGCATGGGCCAACTTTGGTCCTCCAGGTGTTTTGGACTTCAACTCCCACAATTCCTAACAGCCTACTGAGCTAGCACATCTGATAATAAAATTGTAACTGAAAGTAGTTAAAACTGCCCTGGTCATCTAAGTAATTCTGTTGCACAAAAATATTTGGGGAGGACAGGCTCAAACTTGAAACTTTCAATAAAAATGATAAGTCTTAAACCTCTCTTTTATTGACCCACACCCATCCCTTGAATGGCAAAAGGATCAAGCACTTCTCCTATGCTCTCCCTACTCTAAACCCTCTTGTCAGGTGCACAGCACACAAAGGGATAGTAACACTTGGCACCATCTTTAAGGCCATTTGATCTGACAGTAGGCCTTTCAATAGTCCAGAACTCAGCAGATGGCTGAACTATATGCCCAACTGTGACATCAGGATGGGTGAGTCAGTGCCACGGAGAGAGATGAGGCAGGCGGGCAAAGCTGAAGAATATAGGAAGGGATAAAACTAAAGAAGGTGTTAGGGCTAGAAAGGGTTTCAACAATACCAATGGGACTGATCTGCCTTTCAGATAAGGACCATGATTTCCAGAACTCCCTTGCCATGTATAAAACTCTATGTGGCGAGGGGATTCTGGAAATTTCCAAACGCTGCTTATACGAAACTCTCGTATACAAACACTCGTATATAAAAATATACAAACTCTCGTACCACCAAAAATATACATTTAGGAAGTCATGAATAATCTCAAAGCACTGTATGGAGAATCGGAATAAAGAATCACACACTTTTCACTCAGGTCGCATTCAGCAAACATCCTGAAGTTTATGTTTCTATGTTGAAACAAAGTTACACCGAAAAGAAACTTTGCAGGAGACGTACAAAGAACTTCGAGAAAAGGAAGTTTAGATTTCTATGTTGAAACAAATTTACACCCAAAAGAAACTTCTAAGTAAATATTAATGCAAATAATGTGTTATGTGATTATATATTTATATTTACCTGGAATGAATGAACAAAGCTAAGGACCTGTAGAGAAAGTTTTCTACTGGAATGTAACAGTTTTTGTAGGCTGTCAAAAGAGGAAGCAAAAATGAAAATGATATATACATGGTTTATGTGACCAAAGTAAGTTTCTTCATTTTGTTTTCTCCACCAATGATCTACTAGCAGACGTTACAATAAAACAAATCTCACCTCTCTCTGCTACACAGCCCATGGCTTGCAATTTTTCGGCAAACCTTCCGGTTTAGGTCAGAGCTGAAAAGTGGAATTCCGAAGCATAATTCCAGGGGAACCCATTCCAGTTCTGTTGTGGGAACTGTTACGAGAAGAGGCGAGGCGGAACTGACATTATGAATTTTCCAAGAGTTGGATATCTATACTAGCCTGTTTTGTTCTGGACTATAAAATTCACCATCCCAAATAATATGGCCAGTGGTCATGGATGTTGATTGTAATCTATAACATCTAGAACAGTGTGGTTCCCAACCTTTTTTGACCTGGGACCACTTTGACCAGGGACATTAGTACCAAAAGAGTTACAAATCACTTTTGGGTCAACTTTAGATTCGATTTGGTTATTTGGGGGGCTGATTCAGAAAACTGCATTGGATAGACCACATCAGCTCTAATTTCCGATACAGAACATATGCCATCCAGTAGTCGCCATCCGCTCACCCACAGAAAACCATATATAATAAATTAATCTATAGCTGATGTGGTAGTAGTAATCTTTCGTGGGTAGTCAGCCTCTCCCCTCCCGACATCCTTGTTGCCTCGGTATTATAAGAAGGTTTCGTGAGACCAGCCACTCTCGTTGCCAAGTGGTTTCAAGTTTCAAGGCAACAGTGTAGTAATGGTGACGCCGTGGACCATATTTTCGTTCTTGCGCACCACTGGTGGTCCACAGACCACAGGTTGGTAACCACTGATCTAGAAGGAGTCAGGTGAACATTCCCTGTCTTGAAACATTTAGGTTATTTCTACTTCTTGCATTCCCAATAAATAATTCAGAAGTTTGGCTCACTGGCTTGGGAGGCATCTAATGTCATGTGCAAATATTACTGCTCCTACTTCTTCAGTAAAAGTAAAATACTCCATAGCGTGCTACCTGAAGCACTAATACAGAAATGATGTCCATTATGTTGCTGATATCTTAACCCAGGGGTGTCAAACTTATTTTTATCGAGGGCCACATCAGCCTTATGGTTGCTTTCAAAAGGGTTTGAATCCATAGATGGAGAATCCCTGGATACAGAGAGCTAACTACTTTATCTGTTTAGATAGTGGTTGGTGCTCTCTAGTTTTTCACAGTTTAGGTCCCCAGATGTTACTAAACAACCACCATGGGACTGGGAAATATGGGAATTGCAACCCATCAGCACCTGTGGTTCTGTGGTCGGGGAAAAGTTAAAGGATATTTTGAAGCCAGACATCATATTCACAAATCTTGTATCTAAATCCAAACCCTACTATCCTCCCAAAATGGATCAAACTGCAGCCTTTCAGATGTTACTGTATCACAACTCAAATCAGCTCTAGCCATGATGTCTAATGTTGAGGAATACAGGAGTTGTAATCTAGTATCTGGAAGGTCACAATATTATTATTGTGATTTATATCCCACTTTTTCTCTCTAACAAAGATACTCAAAGCAGCTCACAACAAAAACAATACAATACAATAAAAACCTAAAATTATGGCAGCCACTTGATTGACTCTGTAACATAGCAGCTGAGGTCTGGGCCACTGTGCAAAATGGAGTAATGACTAGAAGGTGTAGGAAATGAACATACAGCTGTACTAATTCAGGATACATCTTTAAATAGTAAGATAGCAAACAAAGGACTGCTGCCCATGGCAGTTGTGTAATATGAGTCCCTCCTATCACTTTCCAACTGCTCCAGTATTTCCAACCCATTCAATAAAAAATACAAAGAACACCAGGCCTATAACAATGCTTCATTGTTTTGTCCATCGCCAATAAAGAACTGTCATTGTATGAGAAAAAAGTGAAGCCTTTAAAAAAGTTGTGGTTTCTTTTTCTTTTTAAGTGCTGTCTATAAATGAAAAGTAGGTTATCTAATCAAGTATTACCAGTGAGGACAAGTGATTTTAATAGGCCCACAGAACTATAAACATACTATAAACTATAAACATGGAAAGAATACTAGAGTAGTCTGTAAAAGAAAAAAAAACCAAGCTAAAAGTATGTTTCCATGCTCTGTGATTTCAAGCAGAGAAAACTTTGCCAGGACTTAGCTTAGCAATATATTTATTTCCTGTAACTAGTAGTTTTGGCCTTGTGCATCCTTTTAGTATGAGGTATCACCCCCCCCCTTTTTTTTTCATCCCCAAACTTTAACCATCAAGTGTATGTATGCATAAGGGTTTGGTTTATATGTTCACTAAGTGTGGACTAGCTATGTAGCCAAAAAGTGTCAAACTTGAGAACCATGGGCTGAATCGGGTCCGCCATGTCATTTTATATGGCCCTCCAAATGCTGAACTACAACTCCTTTGTTCCTCATCATGACTGGAGCTGATGGCAGCTGTGGTACAGTCATATCTGGAAGGCTGCTGTTTTTTCTGTTTAGTCAGGAGAGTGAGGTTTGAATTCAGAGACAAGGCTTGCGGATATGATGTCTGATGTTAAAATGTCCTTTAACCTTTCCCCAATCTTGGAGCTGCAAGTACTGTTGGACTGCAATTCCCATTATCCCCAGTCTGCAGGGTGGACAATCAAAAGTGATGGTGTCATATTAATATAATGTGCAGATTTGATAAATGTGGATTTGACATGATGTATGGTTTGAATGGAATTGTATGAAAGAGGTCTCACTGGGCTGAAGATACCATCCTAAGGAATAAGGCCTGGCAAACAGCTACAATTTATGGACTGTAATTAAAAGTTGCTGATGAGAACTTGACAAATGATTAAATATTGATAAATTGCTGACAATGAACTCTTGGTAGAAAAATAAGTTGTTTACATTGCCAAAGACAATGGTTCTTTTATGTTAAGGAAATGTTTACAGGATTCCTTATGTTAAGAAGAAAGTCAATACAAGGCTGCTTGCATTACCAACACCAATCAAGAAGAGTCAAGTTTTGCCAGGAAACTGAGATTAAATCAACATGTTTCAGGATGGAAGACGTCTATCATTCACTTGCAACTTTGGGCCAACTTCAGTGAAATATTGCTATATAAGAGATCTTATACAATCCAAAATTGTGGAAGACCGGAGGAGTCTGGTCCACCCGCTATGCTCTGCTCCATTGAGAAGGAGAGAGAGAGTGTACCTTGGGAGTCCCGGTTCTGTTGTGGAACGCAGTCTGGTCACTTGCCTCCTTTTCTCAAGGGAGGAGAAATGACTGTGTTTTGGAGTCATGATATGTTGCAGGGAGTCAGTTTCTGCTGTAGAGGAAGCAGGGATCTGATCCCTATTTCCTCTCGGAAAAGGATGTATTTTGGCATTTTTTAAGCATTTTGGCATTATGAGATTTTTTTAATGCATTGGTTGATTTGTAAAGAAGCAGCCTGACCTATGAGATGTTCTTCATGGAGGAAGAATGGTGAAATGGTTTTGTATGCATGATGATGGATGAATGTTTATGTGAAGGTGAATGTTGAGTAAAAATGTAATTCCCCTTTGTTTGTTTGTTAGCCAATATAACTGTAGGTTGTTTGTGAATCCAATGTAGTTACATAGAATCTGTATGTCTGTATGTCTAATTGCTGTCCTGTAAAAGTTCTGATCCCCTTTCTCTTATTGAAAAAATGCAATAAAAAAGAACCTATGCTTTCAAGTTATTGAAAAGTTATTCATTCAATAACATCTGGGGATCCAAACTGGGTAAAATCAAAAGAGCACCGGCCACTATGTAAAAATAATTATAGCGGCCCTCTGTATCCACAGATTCTCTGTCCATGTTTCACTGCCCTTTGAAGGCAATCATAAGGCTGATGTAGCCCTCCATGAAAATGATTCTGACACCCCCGATGTAGCCCAAAGATAAAGCTTCTGTAAAATCTAACAGACAATAGTGAAAACAAATCTTCTGCCCCAATAATAAGATGCAGGCTATTTTTAAAAGATTACCTTCTGGACTTGGTTTAGCCACATTGTCAATGGATGGCTCTTCAATGACCATTTCGAATGATTCTGTGCTTCCATTTACATCTGAGCCCAGGGCCAGCTCTGGCTCACCTTAAAGGAAATTCATACTCATAAATTACAGCAGCTGTGATTGCGTAGCCATTATTTTATCTTCAGGATACTCCCCAATTACCTCGGCTTCTCCATAAACAATTCCTTCTCTTCATAGCGATACTGAGATATTTCTATGCACAAGAGACTCCCCTCCCACAAAAAACTATGGGAAAACACTGAAATTACAAGGCTCTTGGGATTTTGCCTTCCCTTTACATACAGGTTCCTTTACTCCTGCTGTCTTTTACTCTTCTCAAATGCCAGAAATGCCTAGTCAGGCCACCCAAATTCATCCCTGACTCACCTTTTCCATCAGAAGCATCACTCGGCTTTCTGTTTATTTGGTGACTGAAAGGATTCAACATGGTGACATAGCCGCAGAAGTGCTGCAAATCCATCTTTTCCCTTAGTACCTTCAGTGCTTTATGAACACCCATGTTGAGACGAGAAAAATCTAGACACAACCCCAAAGAATGAAACATCAAAATACAATACTGATACCATAAAACACTTGACGGCAAAGCTAAACATTAAAGATTGTTGCTTTATATTAGGTCAATAACACTTCCAGGCAGCCCAAGTCCCATCACATGCATAATGGAGGACTTTCTCACAGCAAGACCAGAGGCACTCCAAGTGGTCAGTTTCTGGTCAAAGAACATTTAGCATAATGCCAAGTTTTAAAAACTTTGTTTGTATTTTAAAATGCATTTTAACTGTACCCTCAACTCACTTCTGACATGATAAATAAATAAGGTCAATAACAAGAACCACGATTCAAAAAAGTCATTGCAGTGGCTAGAAACTAGTTTTTTCTTCATTTAGAAATAAAGATGCAGAATGATGTATTAAATTAAAAAAAAGATGACTTCATCGTTAATTAACAACAATGTTGATTTTTGGATTTAAAGGATTTATTGTGCTTCGCAGACCTTTAAGTTTATGTTGTCATTTTGTTTAGGTTATATTATTTCTTTGGAAATAATGAACAATAAATTGTTGTTTTGAAGTCATGTTTGTTTATGAGTACGGACTGAGTTTTCACAACAAAATATAAACCTGGCAAAAAAAATTGAGGGAGGGAAAGGTCAAAGCAAGGCACATGATGTGTTTTGCATGCAGAAAATCGCAGTTCATTTCCCATGAGAAAAGGAAGATATATCAGATGATAAGAGAGATATTTACCTCAGCCTTGGAGGAGAACCATGCTAACTGTCTAGTTACTTTTCACTGATCTTCACCGGGAGGCCCCAGTGGCGCAGTGGTTAAACCAGTGGTTCTCAACCTGTGGGTTCTCAGGTGTTTTAGCCTATAACTTCCAGAAATCCCAGCCAGTTAACCAGCTGTTAGGATTTCTGGGAGTTGAAGGCCAAAACATCTGGGGAACCACAGGTTGGGAACCGCTGGGTTAAACCCTTTTGCTGGTGACTGCAGACCAAAATCCAGGGAGTGGGGTGAGCTCCTGTCTGTCAGCTCCAGCTTCTCATGCGGGGAGATGAGAGAAGCTTCCCACAAGATGATAAAACATCCAGGCGTACCCTGGTCAACGGCCTTACAGACAGTCAATTCTCTCACACCAGAAGCGACTTGCAGTTTCTCAAGTCGCTCCTGATATGAAAACAAACAAACAAACTGATCTTCTAACTATTGTGAGCGTTATGATATTTTCAGGTTGCATAAATTCTACCCAAGCAAAAAATTCTAATTCAGATTACATAGCTACCTCCTTGCTGTTCTGTTTCATCAAATGGAAATGGCATGTGGACAGTCTCCCCCATACCATGCACACCGTGCCCCTAAACACAAAGACAGGAGTTAGTGCATAAATGTCACATTCTTCTAGGAGTCTCTAGCTTTTCATTTTGCCACAGAAATGTTTGATGACACAGGTCCCTAACTTAATTTTGAAACCCCTCTCAAGGCTTCAAAGGCACTCTGAATGTTAAAATTATTTTAAGATGAGACAGAAAATCATTGCCAGGATGACCATGAGCTGTGGAATGTTTTGTCTTCTGAGTTTAATGGGAATTCCAGATAAATAAGCAAGTACAGGATGACAACCCAAATAACACACATTGCAGCCATAAAGGGAAACCTGTCTATTAGGAATGCTAGCTTCATTCCCCACACATATCTCCTTCTTGCTCCAAACTCTGTTTCACACAAATATCAGAGAACTCCCCCTATGCCCCATACCTGGATCAGAACAGCAGAATGGGTCAATGCATCGTTCAGCATGGTAAGTACATTTGAAGTTGGGACGACTCCTGGATCGTGGCCCCAAGATGTTATTAATAAACGGTCATAACCCTTGGATACAGAAGCAAAGATCTAGTTAGATATACACTCAGATGCCTCTCAAACTTTGTATTGTGTAGCTTTTACTGAACTTTTCTGGAAAGCCTAGTAGGCCAAATTACCCGAATATATTCGAGTATGAGCCGACCCAAATATAAGCCGAGGCACCTAATTTTACCACAAAAACTGGGGAAATGTATTGATTCGCGTATAAGCTGAGGGTGGGAAATGCAGCAGCTATTGGTAAATTCCAACATAAAAATAGATACCAATAACATTACATTGATTGAGGCATCAATCAGTTAAATGTTTTTGAATATACATAAAACTGTAATTTAAGGTAAGACTGCCCAACCCCAATTAAACCATTATTCTAACCTTCTTCAATGTAATGTAAATGTGCTTATGTATCCATCCAATAAAAATAAAGAGAGTAAAATAATAAATATAATAAAAATAGTAATAAAGTAATGTAAATGTAATAATAACAATAATAGAGTAAAATAATAAATGTAGTAATAATAAATAGAGCTGAATGTATATATAATAAATAGTAATAAAGTAATGTAAATGTAATAATAATAATAATAAAGAGTAAAATAATAAATGTAATAATGACAATAATAAATAGAGTAAAAAATTAAATGGCGGGGACGAGGAGCAGGGCCTTCTCGGTGGTGGCCCCTCACCTATGGAACTCACTCCCCGGGGAGATCAGATCAGCGACCTCCCTTCTGTCGTTCAGAAAAAAGCTGAAGACCTGGATTTGGAACCAAGCTTTTGGACATTCTGGCAGCTAAAATAAGGACTCATTGATGAGCAGGAATTGTTGGAATGAATGGACATTTCGGAACTCTGAATCTCACTGTGCATGAAATTGTTTTTATTATATTATGTAGCGATGTGTTTTAATGCTGTTAAATGTTTATACTGTTTTATATATGCTGTATATTTTGACAGGCATCGAATTTGTGCCTTTGTTTGTAAGCCGCCCTGAGTCCCCCCTCGGGGGTGAGACGGGCGGGGTATAAGTAACTGCAATAAATAATAAATAAATAATAAATAAATGTAGTAATAATAAATAGAGTTGAATGTATATGGTGTCAGCACATGCTAGAATCAAGAATGAATTTTCACAGATAGCTGCAGATAGCTGCACTACAAAGTATACATCTGGAAAGGCTTCCTTGCACACATACGATTTTTAAATGTGTGAACTGTTAGTGTTCAGGATGTATCACGTCCAATTTTTTTGGAAGTCAAAATTATATTACTAAGTACAGAATTAAAGAGTTAAATTACTGTAATTGGGGGAAGACCCTAATCCCTTCACCCCCAGTTGCTATACCTCTGCTTATCAATATATTTATACCCTTATTATCGATATCAAATATCCCTCTCAAAGATTGATTCAGAAAATTATGAAGGAAGCGTAAGAATGAAAATCAAACAATAGCCCGAGGCACACCATCAGGGTAAATAGTAAATTCTTGTTCTAAAGTCATCTGAATTTACTGCATTATATCTTCTTGTGCTCAATAAAGCTTGAGTCATACTACCTATTTATTATCTGGAAATGCCCCAGAGGAAAATGTAGGGTCTTCTACCTCAGATTTTGAAATCTTTGCATTTCCAGTCCAACTGCTTTGTTTCAGCAATTTCATACACATCCGAAGGCAGAAGGAGCAATTAGTTCTTCAAAACCAGCACAATGATGTAGGATTCTCATTTTCTCCCAATGCGGGACACATACCTGAAAGATCTCTGGAAGTTTTCGAAGTCTTGTTCCTTTAGATAGCAACAGGGATGGAGGCCCTTGACCAGTAATATGATAAATATACAGCTTGAACCACACTGAGCTAACTTCTGGAATGGCTGGCCCAATATGCTGTGAAAAGAGTAGGAAAGACATCGAATGAAATAACACCCACTGAAGCAAGAATGAACACATCAGTGCTCTTCTCATCATATTTACCAGCACAAAAGTTAATTCTTTCAACACCTTTATTGCCCTGTTAGAAAGTAATGAACAGAAAAACATGGAGTTATCTGGCAAGTAAAGTAAAGGTAAAAAATTCCCCTGACATTAAGTCTAGCCATGTCTGACTATGGGGGGTAGTGCTCATCTCCATTTCTAAGTCAAAGACCAGCGCTGTCCGTAAACACCTCCAAGGTCATGCATGGAGCGCTGTTACATTCCCTGTGAAGTGGTATCCATTAATCTACTCCACCAGGGGCTCCATCTGGCAAGTGTGGGTACTTTAATTCCTGGAAAATCACTGTAATACATGAATCCATGTCTTTATTGGGCTAATAAAAAAGGCACACAAATCTTGGTTTCAAAGTTCGTCCGATAGGAAAAGATGTTTGTTTTTAAATCATGGAGCAGAGGGAGGGTGGTAACATGAAGAAGCAAGGTAATAGAAGCAGAACCAATTTTGCGGGGAATATACAATTTCCCCTTAAACTAACGTTACATCTTCTATCTGAAGACCGACAGGTCGCAGGTTCGAATCCGAGGAGAGGCAGATGAGCTCCCTCTATCAGCTCCAGCTCCTCATGTGGGGACATGAGAGAAGCCTCCCACAAGGATGATAAAACATCAAATTATCCAGGTGCCCCCTGGGCAACGTCCTTGCAGACGGCCAATTCTCTCACACCAGAAGCAACTTGCAGTTTCTCAAGTTGCTCCTGACACGACCAAAAAAATAAATAAAAATCCTCTATCTGGTTTGAAAATCCCAGGTGCCTTTTTGGAAGATAGCAGGCTGTCTAGTTTCCTATTTTCTCAACATATTCATTATGATTATCTAATATTAATAGGTTTTGGCAGCAGAATCTCCGAGTACCGTACATACTCAAGTATAAACCAACCCGAATATAAGCCGAGGTACCTAATTTTACTGCAAAAAACCTGGAAAAATGTACTGACTTGAGTATAAGCCAAGGATGGGAAACGCAGCAGCTACTGATAAATTTCCAAATAAAAATAGATACTAATAAAATTATATTGAGGCATCAGTAGCTTAAAACTTTTTGAATATTTACATAAAATTTAATTTAAGATAAGACTGCCCAACTCTGATTAAACCATTATTCTAACCTTCTTCAATGTAAATGTACTTACGTATCCTTTCAATACTAATAAAGAGAGTAAAATAGTAAATGTAATAAAGATAATAATAGAGTAAAATAATAAATGTAATAATAATAGTAATAGAGTAAAAAACAAAGTATGGATTGTCAATGTTGCAATCCCAGGTGACAGAAGGATTGAAGAGAAACAACTGGAAAAGCTGACACGATATGAGGATTTAAAGATCGAACTGCAAAGACTCTGGCTGAAGCCAGTCAAGGTGGTCCCAGTGGTGATCGGCACACTGGGTGCAGTGCCTAAAGACCTTGGCCTGCACTTAAACACAATTGGCGCTGACAAAATTACCATCTGCCAGCTGCAGAAGGCCACCTTACTGGGATCTGCACGCATTATTCGATGATACATCACACTGTCCTGGACACTTGGGAAGTGTCCGATGTGTGAGCCAATACAATAGCCAGCAGAGTGTCTGCTGTGGACTCATCTTGTTGTGTTTCAAATAATAATAACAGAATAAAATTATGTGAATGTAATAATAACAATAGCAATAGAATAAAATAATAAATGTAACAACAACAGAGAAAAATAATAAATAACCTTGACTCGAGTATAAGCTGAGGAGGGCATTTTCAGCCCTAAAAAAGGGCTGAAAAACTCAGCTTATACTCGAGTATACACGGTACCTTTGTGTTGACAGTTCATTATTTTGAATGATTCTTTTAGAAAAATAGCATGATGAAGTTTAAAGTTGTTGTGTTGGTTTTGACTGCTATTGAGGCTTTGTTACTGAAAGATTTAAACAAAAAGATTTAAAGTAAATATTTTTGTGAGGGCAAATGGAAGATAAAAATAAAGAACATAAGGGTGTGACCATCTCAACGTGAAAAATAGTAGAGCTGAATGGGAAACAATCCATCCATTTTGTGCTTGGTCTTTCTCACCTGGGGAGTACAACTGCTGATGGGTCGGATTTCATTGGTAAGTGGTGCCATGGAGACCAGGAGAGTGTAGTTTTTGTTCAAAACCCGGCTGCAGGTAGCAGGGTCCAAGCCAAGCAAACTCTCACAGCGCAGTAAATCCAGAGGGAAACCTACATCAACAATGTCAAAGCCACTTGGAATACAGATAGAGAACGGACATATACAACTGAAAGGGGCACAGGAAAGATGGAGGGAAAAATACAAATTTAGATGGTCTCTCTTCCCTGGTGTTTTATAAAGCTTCAAATTGTTGGTTTACAGAGGAGCAATGCTATATCTTGTCAGAGAGATACAACATGCCATGATCCCTTCCCTTATTTGAAAACTCCAAATGGCTCTATGTGGGGTTGTGTTTGAAGAGTGTTCCAAAGCTATATCCAGCAATCAGACTGTTACATCTTGTACTAACTTCAGTGACTCCCAATTTAATTCTGACTTCAATTCAAGGTCCTCAACTAAAGAGTTTAAAGCCAGGGCACCTGAAAGACAACCGTCTCCCATAAGAACCTGCTCAAATATTTCTAATAACAACAATATAAATAGGTAGAGATAGTTTTTGGACTGAATGGACATTTTTCTTCTACCAAAGGGTTGTATAACTGGAAGGTATGTAAACAGACCTTTTCTTAACCTAGTTGTTTCAGCAAGCCTTTCAGACGATCAAAGATGATAAGGAATCCCAGATGGCTTGCATCTACTTTATTTTATTTGCACTTTCAAAATATTCTTCAGCTGGACTGAAAAGTGATGCAGAGTGGACTCTAGACACTGCATTTCCCCATTTAGTCCATGGCATTGCAATGGATTCTTTGGCATGGCCTCTCATATTAAGCAATGCCTCTTGAGCACCTTAAAAACATTACTTCAAGTGACAGCTTGGATTACTGATATATCTATGCTGGTATTGAGAGAAAGAGGTGGTGATACAGATAGTAAAGAACACGTAATATGCAGGTAGTTGCAACCTGGACTGAGAGACATCTGAATAGATCCTGCCTGCCCAAAAAATGCATTGGGGTTGAAGGGTTAGCAGACATTGTCTCTAGGGTAAAAGTGCAATCTCACATAAAAATACCAAAGCATTTATATATTTCTCACTTTTTTATATATAGCCTTGGACTTAATCTGAAAACTTGAATGTAAATATCATATATATTTTCAAATGTATTATTATTATTAATAATAATAATAATAATAATAATAATAATCCTTAGTGGACATAAAGTGGATAAAAACTTAGAAAGGATGCAGTTAAAAACAAATAAAAGGTGAAAACTGAAAGCGAATTAAACTAAGTCAGTGAGTAAAACAATTCAATTAGAAATATAATTCTAAAATAAGTTAAACAGCATGTTCCAGAATCCAGGGGCAGCCACTGAAAAGATCCTCTTCTGCACCTTCACCTATTGTATTACTGTTGGTGGTGGTGGGACTAAGAATGCCATCCACAATGCAGTTTGACTTCACTGTGTCTGCCATGGCTCAATGCTATGGAAATATGGGAGTTGCAGTTTTGCAAGGTCTTTAGCCTTCTCTGGCAATTAGTGCCATCAAACTACAACTCTCATTATGTATTTATTATTTATTTATTTAGAGTATTTAAATCCCGCCCTTCTCACCCCAAAAGGGACTCAGGTCTTCCGGTAGCGGCAAGATGGCGGCCGCCACGGTTCTCTAGAGCTCTGAGGGAACCGACCAGCTAAACACCCCTGGTAGAGCGTATGCTCCCCCAACCCAGCAGCTAGAAGCGGGTTGGTGCCTTATCAATTGGACTGACACAGCCTGGAAATGGGGAGGCCACAGGAGTGAGGAACCCCAACTACCAAACTCAGGGTGTCTGAAGCCCAGTTGTGCGGGGGTTTAGTAAGGATGTCTGGGGCAGCCGCAAGGCTGCAGCGCGGGTCTAGACGTCAGCTGCTATTTTAATTTGAGAGAAATATGGAAAGCAGAGATATATCAAAGAAGAAAGGGAACCCCAAGTTGGGAAGTTGAGTCGACGTTAAATAAAACAACAGGCTGAAATTACCTTTGAGAAGAAGCAAGAAGCAAAGAGAGAGAGAGGAGAGAGGAAGAATGGGAGAGCAGAACTCATTTCTGGGCTAATTGAAACACAGAAGCTCAGAAACTAAAACGCCAGGAGGACAAAGGCTCACCCGCGCTAGAGGAATCCCTCAATCCTCAAAAAAGGACATTGACAAAGGACCAAGAACCAACGAGGAATATAAATCCCAGTCCCTGGACTGAAGGCTCCGCAAATTCTGGCGCAGATTCCAACCCGCGGGCGGCTGTAAACGCTCAAAGGAAGGCAAACGGCGGGACTTGGTAGGCCTCCGCTCCTCACGCCCCACTCCTTCCCCTCTCATCCCGGTTCTCCCCCGCCACGGTCATGAATCCACCTACCTTTCGAGGACGGTGAACGAGACGCTAGCAAACCGAGCGTGAACGAGGGAGGCATCGGAGATAGAGCCAAGAAGAAAAGACGGAAAGGAAAAGGAAAGAGAGGAGGAGACAAGAAACTGAACTACGAGAGAGATGAGAGGGGATAGGAGAAGCGAAAGAGAAAGAGAAAGGAAAGAAACCGGGAAAGGGGGGGGGAGCGGAGAGGAGCCGACGGAAGTGAATAGAACAAAACCGGAAATAAGAATGACGAGATAGAAGAAAGGGAAGGAGCTATTGCGAGTAGTGAAAGAGGCGGAGACCTGAAAGAAGAAACGGAAGAAAGATACCTCAAGGAAGGCAAGAGAGGCAAGGAGCCAAGAGTAGGAAGGGGAGGAGAAGAGTGGAAGAGAGCGGAACAGAGCGGAGTAGAGCGGAAAAGAACGAAACAGAAGAAAAGAATGCACAGGCAAGGATTCAAGGGAATAAGGGATTAATGTGTGAGAAAGGACTTTAGACTAACTGCCACTTAATCATTAGAATTAGATTAGAAGGACTATTTTGACATTACTGAATGAATTAAGGACAGTAATTTTGAAGGAACAGAATTAGAGAGACTTGGATGGACTGTGAACATACGAGACCATATGAGATCTGGGATACGAAAGTAGTGTCAAGTACTGTGTTAATTATTGTAATAGAGACTATAGCGTGATAAAGTAAAATAATATATAGATAAAGGTGATTCTTAGAGATGTTAATGTGAATTATACATGAAATAGACGCTTTATAGATAGATGTTACATAGACATTTTTTATATACCTATTAACTATATACCTAGACCTTTGAATTACTTCTGATTATTTTAGATAAGAGTGCAATAATTATTAAATAGACAAGCGCACATAAATGATTGATATATATAATTGATAACTGTATGTCTTGTAGGTATCAGTGGATGAATTGTTACTGGATATTTAAGATAAGAGTGCAATAATTATTACCTGGGCGAGTGCATATAATTGAATAATATAAGAGTTAAGTTGATATACAGTATACAACTGGTAAAGACACAATGAAATTAAATGATCTGAAATATTGGAAAATATAAAATAGAGCAATAAGGAAGAACTAGAGAAGATTAATTTGAGGAAATTTCCGTCATAAAGTTTACACTATTCGTCTGGATAAGAAGAGGATACTAGAAGGGTAATGAATTGATATAAGAAGGAAGACTTGTGATTATACCATTATACCACTATAAACTTATCATAAATTTATTAGAGAAGAAGATAGTCGTCTAAGATCAGAAACAGAGAACATTGGGAGTATAAGACAGACAGATTACAGAATATAGCAAGCCCAGTACACAAAGGCACTAGGATACAACATGTCAATTTAGGGAGTATATAAAAATAAACTTAGCAAGGAGGGAAAACAACTTAAACAAAATATTTCTGGCCCTATAAAAAGAATGTCTACACAAAAAGGGAAAATGGAAAAAGAAAGAGATAAGGATAAGGGGGAAAAAAAGGAACAGGTACAGCCAGAAAAGACTCGCTTCCAGAAGAACTAAGTCTGAGAGACTTACTGAAAGAAATATGGAAAGTACAAGAGAGTCAGGCGGCGCAAAGCAAAACCATCAAGGAAGAAATGCAGGAAATGGGAAAGAAATTAAAAGAAGAAATGCAGACAACAATTAAAGAAGAGATGAGAGGAATGAAGGAGGAAATAGGAATACTGAAACAAGAAAATAAGGAACTACAGAATGAAAATAAAGTCATCAAAAACCAACAAGAAGGAATGAGGAAAAAAATCCAAAATCTGGAAGACACGGTAAAAAAAATGCAGAACCAACGAGAAGCTATAGAAGTTAAAGAAAAAGAAAACCAACTGAGGTTCCGTAATATAATAGAAGAAGACAAAGAAGATATAAGAGAGATTGCTGTGGACATAATAACCTGCATACTTAAAAAAGGAAAAGCGGAAATAGAGACAGAAATAGACAGGGTCTTCAGGATCCAAACAAGTTACTCCAAAAGACACAATACCCCAAAAGACGTGATTGTAGGATTTGTGAGAAAATTAACTAGAGATGAAGTGTTAAAGGAGAACGCGAAGTCCCCAACGATGTATAAAGGGAGTAGGATTGCAATATTGAAAGAATACCCTCTGACTATAATAGAAAGAAGACGGAAATACCACTTCCTGACAAACGAACTGAAAAAAAGGAACGTTAGGTTTAAGTGGGAAAGAACAGAGGGAATAATGGTAACGTGGAAAGGGACAAAATATTGGTTGACATCAGAAATGAAGGCAAAAGAATTCTGGGAAAGGCTAGTCAAAGAAGAAAGAGGAGGGGGGCAAAAAAAAGAGACAGAAGAAGAGGAACAGGAAAAAAGCAGGAAAAGACCAAGAGAAAAATCACCGACCCTTAACGATGATGCTTCCAGTACGAACGAAATGGATATGACGCCAAGGATAAAAACACAAGAAGAACAAAATGGAGGAAGTTAAGATATACTCGAACAATATAAATGGGCTAAATTCCCCAAAGAAGAGAAAACAAATATGGCAAAGACTTAAAAAAGGTAGATATGACATAATATCATTGCAAGAAACCCATATCTCGAGTAAGCACGTTACATATCTAGAACACAAAGCCTTAGGGAAGATGTACTACGCATCTGGTCCAAAGAAAAAAAAGGGGGTAGTGACATACATTAATGATAAAATGACATCTGTTTTAGCCTTCAGAGATATGGAAGGAAGAATGTTAGGGGTTAAAATTGAGATGGGTAATAAAATTGTACTGCTGTGTAATATATATGCTCCTAATGAATCTAAGAGTAACTTTGTTGATAAATAGAGAAAAAAGATCGAAGAACAAGTCTATGATGAGTTATTGATTATGGGGGATTTTAATGGGGTGTTGGATGAATTGGAGGATAAGTCTACGGGAATCCCCAGGACAAAACAAAAGATCACAGGGGGATTACCAGCGAGATTTAGGGATCTAAAAGAAGATCTAGGTCTACAGGATATATGGAGGTTCCAACATGGAAATGAAAGAGATTTTACATTTTTCTCAAGTAGGCATAAAACATGGACACGTATCGATATGATCTGGGGAACTAAAACGATACTAAATAAAGTCACCAAATCCCAAATCCTACCAATGATAAACTCAGATCATGCCCCATTATTAATAACAATACGGGAAGAAGAGGAAGGACAAAGAATATTCAGATGGAGACTTAATGATAATATATTAAAAGATCCCAAAGAACAGGAAAAAAATAAAAATTTATTACACGAATTCTTTCAGTTCAACATAGAAAAAGATACATCAATAAATATAATTTGGGATGCCAGCAAAGCATATATAAGAGGCCACTTAATCGAACAGGGAGCAAGATAAAAAAACTAAGAAATATGGAACAACACAGATTAGAAAAAGAGATAATAAACTGGGAAACACAAGCAAAAAAGAATCCACAAGATAAGAAGGTATATCATCAACTTGAATTACTAAGAAAACAAATGAATACATTACAGCTAGAGGAAATAGAAAAGAAACTCAAATTTGTCAGACAGGATAAATTCGAAAACGCAAATAAGGTGGGTAAGTGGCTGGCAAGAAAAGTGGCAATTAAAAAACAAGCCCGACATATAGCGAAAATTGAAGAAGAAGGGAAACACTACTACAAGACCGGAGAAATAATTAAACAATTTGAGAAATATTACAAGACACTTTTATGAAAAAGACAACATCCCAAAAGAAAAGATAACGGAATACTTAGGAAAGATGAAGATTGAGAGACTATCAGAAGAGCAGAGGGAAAGGTTAAATAACAAAATCACACAGGAAGAAATAAAGAAAGCAATAAAAAAGATGTCGATAAATAAAGCCCCAGGACCAGACGGCCTTACGGCAAAATACTACAAGACATTCCAAGACATTCTTATAATACCAATACAGAAAGTGATGAATAAAGCTATGGAAGAAGCAATCATCCCAGAATCGTGGAAAGAAGCCGTAATAACCATTATACACAAAGACAATACAGATGGTACACAGCTTAAAAACTACAGACCAATTTCACTGACCAATGTCGATTATAAAATATTTTCTAGCATATTGGCGGACAGATTAAAAGAGCTCCTAAGGACAAGAATAGAAGATGACCAAGTTGGATTTCTCCCGAAACGCCAGTTAAGAGATAACTTGAGAATGCTAATGAACATCAACGAATACTATGAAAAAAACACCCACAAAGAGGTCGCCATGATGTTTCTTGACGCAGAAAAAGCGTTTGATAGGGTAAGCTGGAGTTTCATCAAGGCGACACTAAAAGAAATGGATATAGGCTACCAATACACAAATGCAATAAAATCAATATATTCAAAACAAACAGCAAAGATTGCAATAAATGGTCAAACTTCTAACAATATACCAATACAGAAAGGAACTAGACAGGGCTGTCCACTGTCTCCGTTATTATTTATTTTAACCTTGGAAATACTATTAATCAACATAAGGAAAAATAATGATCTATCAGGTTTAAAGATAAAGAACTACTCATATAAAATTCGGGCCTATGCAGACGACATGGTCTGTATTGTGGAAAACCCCATAGATAAGATAGATAAATGGCTGTTGGAAATCGAAAAATTTGGGGAGGTTGCGGGCCTAAAAATAAATAAAGATAAAACACAAATCATCACTAAGAACATGAATAAGAAGAAGCAGGAAGAACTAGAGAAGGTAGCAGGAATGAAAGTAGTTGACAAGACAAAGTACCTGGGAATAATATTCACAGCTAAGAACACACAGCTGATAAAGAATAATTATGAAAAAAGATGGGCAGAAATTAAAACAAAAATGAAGAAGTGGGAACATCTAAACTTATCACTGCTTGGGAGAATATCCGTCATAAAGATGAATATACTACCAGAAGTCCTGTTTTTATTCCAAACACTGCCAATAGTAAGATCAAAAACAATGATAAAAAAATGGCACAAAGATATAGGAAAGTTTATATGGCAGGGAAAAAAACATAGGATAAGCTTTGTTAATCTAACGGACGACAGAAATAGAGGGGGACTTGCCCTGCCCAACTTCCAACTCTATTATGAGTCGGCCGCCCTGGACTGGATAAAAGAATGGACAACACTGGAGAAGAAGAAATTACTAACCCTGGAAGGGTTTGATTTAGTCCAAGGTTGGCATGGATACCTTTGGAGGGGCAGGGCAGAAAAGGAGAGAAACTTTAAGAACCATGTGATAAGATCTGGACTAATCCAAGTATGGAATAGATACAAGGATAGATTATATATAAGAACACCACTATCGGTTCTCACCCAATGAGGCTAAACATATTAAAGAAATACCCCGAGATAAATGGCTAGTATACAAACAACTACTGAAAATAAACACACAAGGAGTGACACTTAAGTCATTGGAAGAATTAAGGATACTGGATCCAACAATCTCATGGTATCATTACTTCCAAATTAGGGAAAATTTCAACATAGACAAAAAAACAGGTTTTGAAACAAAGGAGGGATTCTGGGACAAGATGATAAAAACGGACACAAAAATGATAAGTAGAATTTACAAACAACTACTAATATGGAATACGGAAACAGAACAGGTAAAAAGAAACATGGTGCAGTGGGCTAGAGATGTAGAGAGATCAATATCCATGGCAGAGTGGGAGGAAATATGGCGAAAAAAACTGAAATACTCGTATGCAGCAGAAATAAAGGAAAACTGGTACAAGTTATTCTATAGATGGCACTTAACACCAGAAATATTAGCAAAGATCAACAAAGAAAAAACAGGAGAAAAATGTTGGAAGTGTGGGAAAAAAACTGGGAATTTCATCCACATGTGGTGGAAGTGCAAGAAAGTTAAAGAATATTGGCGCCAAATAGGGAAACAAACAGAGACCGTCTTACGGACAAAAATTGAACTAAAACCAGAGACCTTCTTATTAGGTATAACAGACAGTAAGATGGAGAAAAATGCAGATAAACTTTTCTTTTACATGACAACAGCGGCAAGAACTATTCTGGCCAGAGTATGGAAAACGAAAGAGATACCTACCAAGGAACAATGGCAACTGAAAGTCATGGATATTCTGAATATGGACAGGCTCACTGAAAGATTGGCACAAAATGATAAGAACTATCAAAAAACGGACTGGACAAAATTTATAGATTATATTAAAAAAGAAAATAAAGAGATCTATATTAGTGACCTTTAAGAGATTCTCAAAGGTAAATTCAAGAAGAAAACGGAGACTTAAGAGGATAAGAAGGAGGAAAGGAGAAAAAAGATAGAAAGGAAGAGAGAAAAGAAAACAACCAAATGAAAGAAAAGAAAAATATAGATATTTATAAAGAATATTAAAATTAACAACCATAAAAGAGAGGTTATTCAACCTGGGGGGATCTGGAAGTCTATATTTGTTAAAGTCGTTTCATGTTTCATGTTTATTGTCTGTCTGAAGTTGGGGGCGGTCGGGGCTTGTTGGATTATTTTTTGTCTCCCTTTGTGTCTGATGGTTTTTTTTCTCTCTCTCTTTTTCTTCTGTGTTTATCTGGATACACTGTATATTGTTTAATGATCCATAGATGTTTGTAATTGTCCTTTTTTTTTAAAAGAAACATCAATAAAAATTTATTAAAAAAAAGGATGAATCAAAGAACATAAATATGTGGCAAACATTCAATGCCGTTTTTATACACAAACAAGATAGACTATTATACATAGAGGTATATATATCGGCTTTTCCCATCTTCGGCCTCTTGGAGGCTCTGTACTCGGTTCCGGCCACGGGGATGTGTTGTCACTCCATCTCCCTGCCAAAAACCTTTGTTCATAACTTCCTGCTTTTGACGACTCACCAACAGTCCTTCTAGGTGCCTCAGAAAACCGGTTTTTAAAAAGCAGTACCTATTTATCTACTCACATTTGCGTTCAAACTCACATTTGCGTTCATAACAAATATAAACTTATTAGTATTGCAACGGGGAGTGTGGGCCTGCTTTTGCCTGATGAGATAGGATTGTTGTTGTTGTTGTGTGCTTTCAAGTCGTTTCAGACTTTGGTTGACCCTGAGCGAGGGCCAGGTAAATGACCTTGGAGGGCCGTATTCGGCCCCCAGGCCTTAGTTTGAGGACCCCTGGCCTATCCTGATTATTTCAAAACCTGAGCTGGCTCCTATAAGGAGATACAATCTGACAAATAACTCTGACCATATAGAGTTTCACAGGTCATAACCAGCACACTAAATTCATGTGTATCATCTATATTTTGGGCCATTCCTTCCAACAAATTCATCTGTAAACATTAGATCTAAACACCAATCTAGTTCATCTTGTTTGAAAAAAGTGACTTCTCTTAGACCAGGCCTGGGCAAACTTGGGCCTCCAGGTGTTTTGGACTTCAACTCCCACAATTCCTAACAACATACTAGCTGTTAGGAATTGTGGGAGTTAAAGTCCAAAACACGTGGAACGTTGAATTTGCCCATGCTTGGTTTAGACCATATGATGCCTAAGACAATGGAATCTCTGCTCCCTAACATTAGACTTATTAAATACTTGCTTAGAATGCTATTTCAAAGCTGGCAGAGGTTTTTCGTTAAATAGGAAGTACCAAACACATAAAAACGGGTAAAGAATTTCCATGTAAAATTGAGATGTTTTCACTGTACCATTATTGGGCTGCTCAGGCTGAGTAACTTGAGCCACCAGGTCCTTGTTGTGTCTCAGGAAAAGTATTGTGTTTCGCAGTGTCAGAGCATGATCAAAGTATCGTTGTGCTTCGCCCTCCCCTGTGCTCTGGACCTACAGGGGAGACAGGAATGTGTACTTTTTGTAATCTGTTTACGAGAATGGCAAATTGAATTAGGATATAACAAAGTATTCCAGTTAATTAATTATGACACGGCAGCTGTTTTAAAGCTCTACAGGAAAAAAATTGGTCACAGTAATAAATAGTATCATGTTTCTAGTGTTTGAATTAGTATAGCTTAAGAATTAAACATTTGGGGTTGTAAACACAATTTAAAGTAACTGAAAGCTGTTAGGTCAGCCTTTCCCAACTTGATGCCATCCAGATTGGCTGGATCACAACTCCCATAATTCACAACCAGCACAGTTCATACCCATGCTGTCTGCATTGATGCAGCTCACCACGAGATAGATATATACACATGATGATTTAATATCAGTAAATGTTTGATTTTAGTTCCTATTTTGTAAACCTATAGACCTGGAGTTATGTAAAAATATATCTGGTGGAAAGGGGTGCAAAAAATTTAAGAAGCCCTGTTTTATAGGACTGATCTTTCAGAGGTAATGGTGGAAGCACTGTTTCTATAGTAAAGATAAAGGTTTCCCTTGACATTAAGTCTAGTTGTGTCCAACTCTGGGGGGTGGTGCTCATCTCCATTTCTAAGCTGAAGAGCCAGCGCTGTCCGTAGACACCTTCAAGGTCATGTGGCCGATGATTGCATGGAGAGGCAGTACCTTCCTGCTGGAGTGGTACTTATTGATCTACTCACATTTGCATGCTTTCAAACTGCTAAGTTGGCAGAAGCTGGGGCTAACAGCAGGAGCTCACCCTGCTCTTTGGATTCAAACCACCAACCTTTCAGTCAGTAAGTTCAGCAGCTCAGCGGTTTAACCCACTGCACCACATTATTTTTGTTGTCTGCATGATACAGTGGAATAAAAAAGTTATTTAAGCATCAATACAGAAAAAATATGAAATACTGCATCATGATTCCTGGGGGGAGGTGGGGATGAGGAGTCCAGCATTTTCCTTACAAAAGGATGATGATGACGACGACTATTATTATTATTGAGAGAAGACATGATGACCATGTATAAATATGTGAGGGGAAGTCATAGGGAGGAGGGAGCAACTTGTTTTCTGCTGCTCTGGAGACTAGGTCTTGGAACAATGGCTTCAAACTATAGGAAAGGAGATTCCACCTGAACATTAGAAAGAACTTCCTAACTGTGAGAGCTATTCAGCAGTGGAACTCTCTGCCCCGGAGTGTGGTGGAGGCTCCTTCTTTTAACCAGAGGCAGGATGATCATCTGTAGGGAGTGCTTTGGATGCAATTTTCCTGCTTCTTGGCAGGGGTTTGGACTGGATGGCCCATGAGGTCTCTTCCAAATCTATGATTCTGATTATTATTATACTAGCTGTCCCCTGCCACACATTGCTGTGGCCCACATGGGGGTTCTGTGTGGGAGGTTTGGCCCATTTCTATCATTGGTGGGGTTCAGAATGCTCTGTGATTGTCGGTGAACTATAAATTCTAGCAACTACAACTCCCAAATGTCAAGATTCTATTTCCCCCAAACTCCATCAGTGTTCACCTTGGGCATATTGAGTATTCGTGTAGAGTTTGGTCCAGATCCATCACTGTTTGAGTCCAAGGTGATCTCTGGAGTTAGGTGAACTACAACTCCAAAACCAAAGGACACTGCCCACCAAATCGTTCCAGTATTTTCTGTTGGTCATGGAAGTCATGTGTGCAAGTTTGACTGCTCTGGCCAGAGGGAAGACAGAGGGGAGCAGAAGACACTGCCATCTTGTCTTCTGCCTATAACATCACTTCAGAGGCCCCTCCCCCTTCTGGCACCAATGACTGCTCTGGCCAGAGGGAAGACAGAGGGGAGCAGAAGACACTGCCATCTTGTCTTCTGCCTATAACATCACTTCAGAGGCCCCTCGCACAGACGGCTGCCAGAATGACGCGCACACTACTTCATTGGCCCACACTTAATGGACTATTGCTTACTGGCCATAAAGGGTAATAGACAAGAGGTGGAGGCAACAGAGACACGAGGCCAAAGACAAGAATTAAATCTAGATTATTTGACCTATTATCATTTTATTTTTATACTTGGCTCTTCCTCACCTGCCATGAATTTACATAAACAAGTCTCTCACACACCTTTTATGGAAATTGCACCTTATCATCCCCCCCCCTCCCCCTGCAGCTGTGCATATACATCCCCCCCCCCAACATTCAGTTCGACCGCTAGTCTATCCCCGAATCCTCCCGCCCTGATCCCCCCGTCCCCTCGATGGCCAGTTCCATTTGCCATTGGAAGACAGGTAGGGGAGCAGAAGACAATCCTCCCTCCGCCGTTAATCAGCCGCGCCATATCCCTCGCCATCCCGCCTCTTCTTCCTTCCCCCCGATATAATTATATCCGCGTTATCGCCGATATCCCCCCCGGCATCCCCCATCGATCCGCCATCCCACGCCTCTTCTCGCCCCGCCGCCCTATCCTGTCTCTCTGTCGACTCTTCGTCGTCCCCTGAGTAATGCATGGCAAGTTCACTACTGTCAGAGGATGACGACTTCTCCCCGAAACTAAGAGTGCAAGCATCAGGATTCGACCTGCCGTGGGATACATATATAAAATAAAAACAAGGCCATTGAGGGACCTTATATACTTGTTAAACTCGAGCACCAAAAATAAAAATAACAAACTTCGAACCCATGTGCATATCTAAAAATATGCATATCAAAGCTTAAAAAACAATTACTTAGCCAATGAGAGAGTACACATATACATCGGTGGACAGACATTCCTAAGTACAGCATATTATTCCAGGATTGTCAAGACACTAACTGCTAGGTCGACATTCTATTCATATCATTGTCTTTAACTATATTATAAGTGCACTAAGCATAAGCTGGTATAATAAAGGATTCTTGTATACTTACCATATAATTAATAAATTTTTGCAATAATATTTATACATGTATATACGATATAACATTACTATGTAAGAATAAAATTTCAATGATTGATAACATTTGGTGAAGAAATTTTTATATATTTTACTAATTGTTCAATACATGTCAAAATATTACTAAATAATATGTACAAATATAATGGTGTAATCAGGTGGCACTATTGTTGACATATTATATTTTGAGTGGTAATCTCCACGTACTTTTGCTAATAACATAGAATATATTTGATATGAAAGTAAGGAAATGAATTAGTTACAAAGCGATAGACTCCGCTCTTGTCCAAGTCACCCCGTCACCACTGGGTGAGAAGGGCGGGGTATAAGCAACCGTAATAAATAAATAAATAATAAATAATAAATCCAAGTTTGGTTCAATTCCATCATTTGTGGGGTTCAGAATGCTCTTTGATGGTAAGTGAACCATAAATCCCAGCAACTACAACTCTCAAATTACGAAATCAATTTTTTTGAGTAAAGAACATACATTGGGTTGTTAGGTGTCTTGTGTCCAAATTTGTTGTCAATTCCCCCAGTGGTTTTTGAGTTCTGTGAATACCACAAATGAACATTATATTTACTGTATATACTCGAGTATAAGCCTAGTTTTTCAGCCCCTTTTTTAGGCTGAAAAAGCTCTCCTCGGCTTATACTCAAGTCAAGGTTATTTATTCTTTTACTCTGTTTTTAGTATTATTTTATTACATTTATTATTTTACTCAATTATTATTATATTTCTCAAAGTGGCTTAACATAAAAGCATCAGCATACAATTTAAAATATACAAATAACCAAACATTAAAACAAGATTAAATATAAACAGTATTGAAATTCCCAGTTAAAAACCATTAAAATGTATTCAAAGTTAAAAACCACAGCATCCCACAAGAAGCCATTTTAAGACCTGAGCTTTAAAACTACCATCTTTAAAAGCCTGCCTGAATAAAAAGGTTTCAGCCTTTAGTAGGCGACTGGAGGAAGTCAGAGGACAAAAATAGCCCTCTAGGAGACCTTGGAAGGCTACAACCCTACAATGTGTTTGTCTGTGCCTAAAATGCCCTTAGGGACATGACTTTTTCTGCTGCTGGGTCATTTTAAGCCTAGGAGAGGCCTTCGTGTTTTAAATAAGGCCTCTCTGGGAACAAAAATGTGGCAAATGCCACCCATATTCTCTGGGGGGCATTTTAAAAATAAAAACATTTTTGAACCCTGACAGTCAGACAAAATGGACCTGGGTGCTACAACTTGCCCACCTTTATCTTAATGTGAGATAGTCAGCATGTGGCCTGGAAGCTGAATCCATATAAGGATCCTTGGAGTATCAATCAAGTTGCCTCAGGGTAAGGAAAATATTTCCAACTTGTGAGACAACATACTGAAAGTTATTGCTCTTCGGATTTTATGAACCACAACTTATGAAGCAATTAATGCAAGATACTATGGTAAAGGTACATGTGCTGTGGAAAAACATAACTGTGTGGGATGCAGAGACAAACCATACTGACCAACCTGCATTTACCTTTTCAAGCTCCACAAGGAAACTGTCCAGCGACTCATCTGATAGTTTTCCAACTTCAAACATGGTGACGGCATGACTTTTTAAATTCTGTATGAAAGGCAAGATGGTATTGTTTAGTTCTTCATCCTTGTTCATCTATCTAGTATTCATAATTAAGAATTAGGAATACAGACAACAATACGCCTCCTGTTTTGTATGTCATTTCGCAAAATAAGAATATTCAAGTTTGTTTCTAACCTTTGGATATACTGTATTTAAACAGTTCTGTTACAAACTTCATTTTTGCCCAAAGCTAAGGATTATTTCAAATGATTTTGCAATTTTTAGAAGCTAAACAACTCGACTTACTGGTGAGAGGTTCCCCATCATTAAAAATGCAGTAAGGGTTGAATCAAACAAGAACGCTATGCGCTTTGTGTGTCCGCTTGACAAACTCAAGCTGCTCACGCTGGCAGTATCACCTAAGAAGAAGAAAAAAGGGGGGAAAATCCATGTTTACATGTTTGATATCTACCAAAGCTCTAATCAATACACAATCTGTGTGGGTGGGATATTGAGAGTAATGGTGAGTTTTAAATGTAATTTTAATTGTATTGTTGACGACTTTCATGGAAATCACAGGGGTGTTGTCTGGTTTCCGGGCTGCATGGCTGTGTTCTAGCAGCATTTTTTTCTGACATTTCACCTTCAAAGGAAGATACCAGCCAGAGATCCTCTGAATTTCCCAGCCTCAAATGCAGGTGAAATGTCAGGAGAAAATGCTACTAGAACACAGCCATGCAGCCTGGAAACCACACAACATTCTATTGATTTTAATTGTATCTATTGTAGTTTAATTTTACATGTACACACTAATATAAAATTGTTTCTGTTTGTATTTGTTTTGTTTCAAATTGTTATTAGATTGTGTGGTTGTTCGCTGCCTTGAGTCCCTATAGGGAGAAAGTCAGGATATAAATAAAGATAAAGATAATGATTTTAATAATACGGAACTTGGGTGTATCCATGGGCAAATTTCAGCCCTCCGGGTGTTTTGGACTTCAACTCCAACAATTCCTAACAGCCTAACAGCAATTTGGAGATGCAACAGAGCTCTTCAACATAGAAGGCTAAAGACCTTCTGAAAGTACAACTCCCATGATTCAATAGTATTAAGCCATGGAAGCTAAAGTGGTGTCAAACATCATTAATTCTACAGTGTAGATGCATCCACACTGGATTTATGTTACTCTTGCAATTAAGTCCTGAAACTGCAATGCTCTACTGCAGGCTAACAAGCCCTGCTTCACTATGACATCGGAGAAGCTCAGGAAGACCTGATGTTTTTCAGCACCTCCCATATTGCAGCTGGTTCAATAATGTCCCAGAAGGACTTGCAGATCTAGAACCAGACAAATTGCAGAGAGCTGGAAAGCTTTGGTAACCCTGCAAGCCAATTTCTGGATGATAATTGTAATAGATAGATAGACTAGATTTAAACCTTATACACACTGCACAATCACATGGCATTGATTTACAGGAGGACAAGGAGTAATGTGTTTGGTGGAGACAAGGGACAGGGCCTTTTCTGTGGTGGCCCCTCGGCTGTGGAACTCCCTTCCAAGTGAAATTAGATCTGCTACATCCCTCTTGAGCTTTCAGAAACAAGTGAAATCCTGGCTATGGGATCAGGCCTTTGTAGATTAGGTTGACCTGCTGACGGAGACGGCTTTTATGGAACTGACTGACTGCTCCTTGACTTAAACCGGTGACTGTTGACTGTTTGATTGTTTTTATACTGTTTCATTATTTATTTATTAACTTTAACTTTATTTATACCCTGCTAACATCTCCCGAAGGACTCGGTGCAGCTTACAAAAGGCCAAGGTCCTCAATAAAACAACACCATAACAAATACAACAATAACACTCATAAAGCAAACAAAAAAAATTAAAGCAATAACAATAAACATTAAAAARAGTAARACCATGACACATTTAAAACTAAGGCCGGGCCAAATGTAATGAATAAAATTTAAAAGTGCTGGACATGACAGGTGACATGTATAGGTTTTTAGAGGTAGTGCTGTGTGCAGACAATCTTAAATCTCTAGTAAAGTGCATTTGGGACATGATGCTAGGAGCTTCCTATTCTGGAAAGGCACACCGGAACAGCCACGTCTTCAAGCTTTTCCTGAAGACTGCCAGCGTTGGGACTTGTCTAYTGTCCTTGGGGAGAGAGTTCCAGAGTCGGGGGGCTACCACAGAGAAGGCCCTGTCCCTCGTCCCGACCAACCGCGCTTGCGACGCAGGTSGGATCGTGAGCAGGCCTTTCCAGATGATTGGAGAGATCGTGTGGGTTCGTATACGGAGATGTGGTCYTGCAGGTAGGCKGGTCCCAAACCATTTAGGGCTTTGTAGGTAAGCACCTGCACCTTGAATTGGGACTGGAAAATGAATGGGAGCCAATGGAGCTCCTTAAACAGGAGGGTTGACCTCTCTCTGTAAGGAGCACCAGTTAACAACCTGGCCGCCGCCTGTTGGACCAGTTGGAATTTCTGGGCCGTTTTRAAGGGCAGCCCCACATAGAGCGCATTGCAGTAGTCCAATCTGGAGGTGACCAAGGCTATATTGTTATTTAAATTTTATATTTATGTTTCGGTTGTGGGCACCATGGGGTGCTGGTTTGTTAGCTGCCCTGAGTCCCTCTGCGGAGGTCGAGATAGGATGGGGTACAAATGCCCAAAATAATAGTAATAATAGTAATAATAAATCATGTGCTGTAATTTGGTTAACTTGCAAGGGATGCTCTCTCCTGCTCACCTTGGTCATCCTGACTGTTTGTGTCTGTATCTGTAGCTGACGATCCAGCCTCCTGCACAGGACTCCTACTTTCCCCACTGTCCCAGGATAACAGCATCTTCTGCGTGTCCAAAGTAGTTCTGACAATTGAATAAGAGATGCAAGAAACTCTATGTGCCATCAGACTAAGAGCATTTACTTAGTCTAGCACTCTCCTTCCCAACCAGACATTTCTTTGAAAGCAAACCTACAACTAGGAAAAGAGGGCAACAACAACAACAACAACAACATAGTTCCACTGCTGTTGTCTGGCAGCTGATCCAAATAACACACACAACAACAACAAGCAGAAATGCTCTGTATCTCAGAATAAAGTATAATGACAGAGGTCTCCATAATCATAACAAAACCAGTCTGATTTAGGTAACAGATCCTTTATAGATTTTCCCTTCTTTTCTCTAGATTTTGCCCATGACTCAGAAATTTTAATTAACTGACTCAGTACATTATTTGACTACAGCTTTCAATGCAGACAGGTTTTATTAAGTGTGATTAAAACTAAGAGCATACATGTATTCTGTGAGGTTATTTTTACTTCAGTGTATTATTATAGTATGTAATGTGCATGAAAATATTCAAGACAGATATGTCTTTAATAGAGTGAGTGTTAACGTTTTAACTTAGCTCTATTAATGAGTCAGAAGTGCCTCAGGATTCAATAGTCTTTACTTACAGGTTAGGGCTCACAGGATTATGCATTTAATTTGTAACCTCCCAAATGCTGTTCACCTTTAAGGAAATAATATGCCCATGTACTTACTTCAGCCTATTTATAGATGGAACATTCCGCCATGATGGATGAAGATTTTCCAGATTGATAACTTGGCCCTTTTTATGAGCAAAACCTAACCGACAGTACATGGAAACGGCATTCTGAAGGGAAGACAACATCAGGACTTTGCTTTAACCATTTTGAAAGAGAGGAACAAACATACTCTTCCCCAAGTCTTTAAATGACTACTACAGGCTTACCTTCACTAATGACAGATCTATCTCGAGGACATTTGCAAGCTGAAAGGATACAAAAATAAATATGGATTAATAATAATTTTACTGATAAAATCTAGGAAATCCATTAGTGCCATCATTGTACCATCTTAACCAAACAGGATGTTTGACAATAGTCAAATGATAGTGAGTTGCTGTGAGATTTCCAGGCTGTATAGCCATGTTCCAGAGGCATTCTCTTCTGCCATTTCACCCATGTCTATGGAAGGCATCCTCAGAGGTTGAGGGATCTGTTGGAAACTAGCCAAGTGAGGTTTATATATCTGTGGAATGTCTTAAGTGAGAGAAAGAACTTTTGTCTGCTTGAGGCAGGTGTGAATGTTGCAATTGGCCATCTTGATTAGCATTTAATGGCCTTGCAACTTCAAATCCTGGCTGGTTGCTGTCTAGGAGAATCTTTTGTTGGGAGGTGTTAGCTGACCTTGATTGTTTCATGCCTGGAATTCCCCTGTTTTTTGAGTGTTGCTCATTATTTACTGTCCTGATTTTGGAGGTTTTTTAATACTGTTAGCCTGATTTGGTACATTTTCATGGTCTCCTCCTTTCTGTTGAAATTGTCCACATGCTTGTGGATTTCAATGTGTAGTCTAACATGGTAGTTGTCAATCAAATGATAGCTAGTCAATGAGATGACATCTGTCTGGCCAATCGGCCCAGCATTCCAATCTTATGCCAAATTAATTATTTGAACAACCAACAGCCAAATTATTAACTGAGGATTAAAAGACAGATGTACTCCAATATGCTATCGATGGAGACTTTCTGGATTTTTCAGAATCACAGCAATTCTATTTACCAGACTCCAAGGTTTTCATTGTATTGGAGTGGGGACAGAGCTCTATCATTCAGCAATCATTGGCATTTCTAATTAAAATGATCTCTGATGGAAAGGTGGATTGACCCAATATGTTAAAGGTAAAGGTTGTCCCCTGACATTAAGTCCAGTCATGTCTGACTCTGGGGTGTGGTGTTCATCTCCATTTCTAAGCCGAAGAGCCAGCATTGTTCATAGACACCTCCAAGGTCATGTGGCCAGCATGACCACATGGAGCGCCGTTACCTTCCCGCCGGAGCGGTACCTATTGATCTTCTCACATTTGCATGTTTTCAAACTGCTAGGTTGGCAGAAGCTAGGGCTGACAGCGGAAGCTCACGCCGCTCCCTGGAATCGAACCTTTTGGTCAACAAGCTCAGCAGCTCAGTGCTTTAACCCACTGCACCACCGGGGGCCCCAATATGTTACTAGCGAATAAACAAAATATCTGATTCAGTGTGACAGATTGGTATGTTCATATAAATGAGTTGCAAATTAGACAGAGAAATAATGTTACCAGTAATGTCTAAGCAAACAAGGCCATAGTAGTATTTCTCATCATTAAGACTATTTCATAGTAGTAACCCTTAGAATGTCTCTAAATATTCAAATCCTCTATATTTTTTCCCAGTAATTGTTATAGCACTTTGGCAAAGTAGTCCTACATTAACACCCCAAGATTACAGATGAAGATGAAATGATATCACATTTTCAGTTGCACAGTGGTTGAAGGCACACTTTGTATACAAATAGCCCCAAGTTCATCCCTGCAGCCCTAGGAAAGACGTCTTCTTGAAACCTTTCTCAGCTATTGTCAGGCTGTGTAATGAGCTAGATCAAGCATGGGTAAATTTCGGCCCTTGAGGTGTTTTGAACTTTATCTCCCACAATTCCTAACAGCCTGCTGGTTGTTAGGAATTGTAGGAGTTTAAACCCAAAACACCTGGAAGACCAAAGTTTGCCCATGCCTGAGCTAGATAGATTCAATAGTTTGAGCACAAAGCACTTTTTGATGTCACTATGACAAATGCTTATAAAAAACTACGCTGTAAATTCATGCCCCCCCTCCCGCATGCTCTTAAAGATCACAAGCTTTGACTTCTTTTCCACAGTGACTGCATATTCATTAAGTATCTTTCTACCTATATATCTTTTTTTTATATAAGGAATAGATTTGTGAACGCTTTCTCTCTTCTCCCTAGCACAAAAAGCAGCTGTAACTAAATTCTATACAAAAATTTTCTTAACTGCAGCAAAACACAAGTAGAAATACTTTAAAGGAGAAAACAACAGCATCACCTATGTGTTCATACTTATTGTGGTATGGAGGGTTAATCCCAGATCCACTTACAGTTTCATATTTTGGAATATTTCCTTTGAGAATCATGGGCTCGGATCCCAATGTCTGCTTGAATGATTTGTAGCATTTGTCTAGGTTGTAAAACCAGACACAAAATGCACTGGCCTCTATTCTAATGGAAAACTCTAAGGTATGAACTAAAGGTGGCAGGAATCCGCATTTCAGTGAAAACAGAATATCTTTATTCTCACAATGGATTTTGAACCTTTTCTTAAGATAAACCTATACTATGACTTAATTATGGATGTTTGTTTACACAGTACAGCAAAGTGCTGAAAAACTTACCTCTGCTACATTTGTGTGTTCATCAATTGAAACAAATATCTTGTATAGCAGAGTTTCAAAATAATCACCCTGAACTCTGTTCATAACAAAACCTTCAAGTGGAGGCACTGAAATGAAAAGGGTATAAGAATATTAAGGTTGTGATATAAGGATATTTAAAAAGCCTTTTTATTTCAAAATGAATTATAGGCACTAGAAGACCTTTTCCTGCATCCCTATCTTAAAGAGCCTCTAATTCAAGTTAATGACATGGCCTAAATTTTACATTTTTTCTGCAATCACATTTTACAAAATGAGGATTTAGCAATATTACACCTCCAATACTATCTTGAAGCTTCTGGAATCATTTAAGTCACTAGAATATCAAAATCTGCACGTAAGATACCTATGCGAATATTGCTACTGACATATATTTTGTATCCACACATTAATATTGTTATGCTTCATAACAAAATACACATATTTATTTTCAACAAGATTTTAACCAATACTAAACCACTGAATTGTGACAATTTTTTTACCGAATCCCTTCTGGAGTCTGCAGTCATTTTCCAAATAGTAATTTTCAGCAACCTCAACAGGCCACTCTAACCATCAAAATACCTTTCAAATTTAAATATCTAAATAAATCTGCTTCTTGTCTACTTCTGTTTTCGTTTTTTAAAACATTAAGGGAGGCACTTCCACATATAGACAGATGTCTACACAGTTCTAAATATGACAATGGAAAGGAGAAGATAATGGCATATTATTAAATAGAGATTGTGTGCTACTTTTGTATTTCATGTGGTAGCATGCAGAAATTGCTCTAAGAAATGCTCATACCTGCTATGCAGCTGTCATCTGATATTGGTACATCAAGGTAAATAAACCCCTTATTATACAAGCCTAGCAGAAGGAGAAAAAAGTATATTTACAAAATTATGATCATATTTATTTATTTACACTATTTCTATCCTACCCATATCAGCCCGAAGGCGACTCAGGGCGGCATACAAAGTCGACACAATTTGATGCCATATATAAAATACATACATTGATAAAAAGCAAAAAGGAAACATTACAGTACATTTAGAGACATAAAAACAATAAATAATAAAACATTTAAAAACTACATCCTCTTGTTCAAATCCTCTTTCATTCCATTATCTTATTCATTGGGTCATCTCTAACTTCTTTAACATTATACTTTTATGTCACACTAATGGTGTTAGGCAGTTGTCAGAAAACTGCATGTGAAAGAAAGTCTGTCTTTAATGGAATTTACTATCTATTTTGTGCTACATTCCCAAACAATCTGACACAGGATGACCTGATTCCAACTCAAAGAGGGCTGTGACCAGCCTCAGGCCACAAGAAGGCCCATCACAGCCTCTTGAATTCAAGCATGAAATTGTTAAGAGAGATCTGCAGATAATATGAGGTGGACAGTGGCTTCAGCACATCAGGAGCAGGTCTCCTTAAACTCAGATTGTTGGGGAAGCAGCCCAAAGCAGATGAAAATACTGTCGAAGGTTAAATACCAGCACAAGACTGGCGGTCAAGAAACGTAAGAGGAAGTTAAACATCTGGCTATTAGGAATAGTTGGCGTTGGAAGTCCAAAACTCCTGGAGGGTTGAAGTTTGCCCATGGCAGACCAACAACAGGCGGGATCCAAAGGTAGAGGTTTACCAAAGCCAGAAAGAAAGCAAACCTTCACTCCCCAATGGGGCCCACAAAACCTGCACCAGAGGAACATGTTGAATAGAGTTTCTGACAAACACTGAGACCAGCTGACTCATAAACATTAAAAGGGGAAATTCCTCTCCAGCAAGCCCCTCACAAAAGCCTAAGTACTTGTTTGGACCACAGCCACCATCCCAAGTTAAAATCTTAGAGAATTATTATCCTAAATCTATTACAACATGCAAAAAGCGCCCTTCTGTTTAAAAAAAGAAAAGGAAAAAAAACATAACTTACTGTGAACTACATTGTAGTCCAGAGATCCAGCAAGCTGAGGACCTGAATCAATGATCTTATCAATAGCAGTTTTTTCAGAGGTAGTGCAAATCTAGTAAGAAATGTTTATATGAAATCACATACTTGATTAATAAACAAGTCTTTTTATTATTCCAGGGAGCATTTAGATTGGACTGATGAAGCTGCATAGCTCAGACTCATTTTGCAAGCCTACTGGTGGACCTACCAAGTAGAAAACTTTCAGTTAAAAGGCTTTTGCTATAACACCCAGTAATACTATACTTCTGAGTTGCCTAAGTAAAACAACGAGGAGAGGGATAAGGAATGATAAAAAGTACGTACTTTACTTTGGACATTAACCAATAAATAAAATATATTGCACTATTATTTAATGAAATTCTTTTCAGATTACTGTACTTTTTGGCATTATGTCTCTCAGAATTCATCTGCTGATATGAGTCACAACGGCTGGGGATTCTGGGTATCATGATCCCAAAAATATATTTTCCAAGTTCCCTTTGCCATGTACTCAGACTAGTTCAGAAAGTACAAATGTATCAATGGCTATTAGTCCTGGCAGACAAAGATGGGACTTCCCTGTTCAGAACCAGCTTATTGCTGAACATTAGATACTGAAAACGTTATGACACTGGACACATCATTTTAGACATGGAAGGTAGTGATACACGAACTTAATGGTGACTCTATGTTTGCATCAATAAAATGCTGTTACAAGGAAACTAGAAGTAATTGATAGGGGCATGATGCCAAATACAGAATGCAACTGTGTGATAATAAACAACCAATATCTTTGGAATTCCTAGTCTTGAGGGTAAGATGAGTCTTAAATTTTAAGTTGGTTAAAACACAGAAAATTACCTTTATGTCATCCTCTGTAATGTAACCAGCTTGTACCACCCACCAAGCCTCTACAGCAATCTCTACTGGCTTCAGGGGGAGCAGATCACGGGCAGTTTTCCTTCTGAAAAATTTCTGAAAATTGATATAACCCATTTGAGATTGAGATAACAAGAAAATAATCAATATACTATCATATTTCAGAGAAACAAGTACTGTATATACTCGAGTTTAAGCCGACCCGAATATAAGCTGAGGCATCTAATTTTACCACAAAAACTGAGAAAATTATTTATTTATTTACAGTATTTGTATACCGCTTTTCTCACCCCGAGGGGGACTCAAAGCGGTTTACACATAAGTAATGGCAAAAATTCAATGCCATTACAAACAATTACAATTATACACTACAATTAGACATAAATTAAATTAAAAAATATATCTATGAGCAATAAAACAATCATTAAAACAATAAAAAATGTATTGACTCGAGTATAAGCCAAGGGTGGGAAATGCAGCAGCTACTGGTAAATTTCAAAAATAAAAATAGATATCAATAAAATCACATTAATGAAAGCATCAGTTGGTAATGTAAATGTGCTTATGTATCCATCAAATAAGAATAAAGAGAGTAAAATAATAATAATAATAAAAATAATAAAATTAGAGTAAATAATAAATGCAATAATAAAGTAATAAATAGAGTAAATTAATAAATGTAATAATAACAATAATAAATAGATTACAATAATAAATATAATAGAATAATAGTAACAGAATAAAATAATAAATAATATTGACTTGAGTATAAGCTGAGGGGGGCTTTTTCAGCATAAAAAAGGGCTGAAAAACTCAGCTTATACTCGAGTATATAGATGCTCATATTTTCTGACTACGGTGCAATGAGGTTTTCAAAATACCAAAGTATAATAGCTATCATGTGCTATATGTTCTTTTAGTGCATTTTAAAACCTGCAGGTTTAAACTGACTGGAAAATACTATAGTTCTGCCTTTGTTAAATTTCAGACAGGAAGAAAAGAAAGAACACATAACCATTTGTATTTCTGTAATGTGAGAGCTAGGTTCTTGTAAATGAATTCTGGGATGAGAATGCCATGAGTAAGCGTATAGCTCTAAACATATACTAGATGTAAGATAACCAATCTTGGTTGATTGTAACAGCAACTTTTAACAGCTGAACAGACACCTTTTAAATCTATGCACACAATTCAAAGAATTAATTCTAGCTTATGAAATTCTCAATGCTCTGGTCTTAACATTCTTGCCTCTTCCATGATACTCCATTATATAGTGACAATGCAGAACACATCTAGATGGTTTTAAAAGACCAGAAAATCTCAGATCTTGTTTCATACATGTTTTGTTTATCCCATACACCTCATATTTTCATATTGGACTGTTTTTGGAGACTGTTTAAAAACTAGAAGTTCAGAACAACTATATTTTGAAGGTTAATTTTAAGGATTAATAATAATAATAATAATAATAATACTTTATTTATACCCTGCTCTTTCTTCCCAAGGGACTCAGGGCAGTTTCCAAAGTATAACAAAAATGGCAAACATTCAATGCCTGGGACAAAAACAACATTCATGATAAAACATGAAATAAATTAAACTAAATATAGCTTATAAATAACCAAGCTTAACCAAGGATAAACTAAATAAACATAATAAGGGTCAAACCAATTAAAACATAATACATTAAAAGCCTAATAAAATATATCACAACAGCAGGCTGAGGTGGGTATCCAATGGCCAAGTGAGGAGGTGTGTAAACTACGCTAATCCTCCTCCTCTCCATAACCTAGATTGCACAGGCGGGTCTTTAAAAGCTTTTTAAAGGAGAGGAGAGAGGGGGCCTGCTTTTAGTTCTTTAGGGATGCAGAAGATTGACTTCTTAAAATATGCTCTTGTCTTAAAGTCAAGTTAAACACCTCTAGATTAGACTGCAAAAATATTACATTAAACAGAGAAGAGCAGAAAGAAGAACCAAGAGGAACCAAGAGGAACACTTACTTTGGATGATCTACACTGGTTCATTAAATCGATGTATTGGTTTCTTCCTATGCCAAGAAGTCTTAGGCCTGGGGGGAGGATATTACATTTCTTAAAATAAAATTACTCTTCAAAACATTTTAGAAATACAAAAGCATATTTTTCCCAAATGATGATGCCCTTAATGGCTTCCACCTTTAGGTTTGCCAGGAAAAAATCAAATGAGGGAAATAATTACATAATGCCTTTGTGGGCACCAAGAACTTTGTTATTTGCTATTACAATGCATTTAGCTAGAAGCATTCATAAAGTTCCTTTAAAAACAACCACCATAACAAGATGTATATTATCTGGAGCTGCTCCATCATGCATTTACAACATTTCTGCTCAATACCAATACTTTACACTTGACTGCAAAGATGGCTTGAAAGTCAATATGAGACACATTATTGTACTGTAGCTTGGAATTTTTTAAAAGGCTGTAAACGGTTTCAGACATCACATATCTTTAACAAAAAATTACTTAAAAAAATAAATAAAGGATAGTAAATTATCTTAAAAATTGTGCCAGGATCTGAGCATTAATTATGGGATCAGCATATGAAGCAGTGGAAAATGGGGAAGATTTGCATATAAAAAACCAAGATGTGAATGATTTGTGACCCCCTCCTTGAGGTAATATGAAGAATAATGCAGAACACCAATTTCTGTCTTTGTGGGTAGAATAAACAATTCACATTTACAACAACAGAAAAGACAACTTTGGACATATAGAGTAAGATATATAGGAATAATATTGTGTAGGAGTAGGAATCTCTAAAAATGTTGGTCTAACAGTTTCCTGTGGCCATATCTAGCATGGCCGACTGTGGAAGACACAGTCTGAAACATCTGGAAGACCAAACACAACTGAAATAATCTAAATGTGATTAGTATGGCATATGGCTGGGAAAACAAACAATTATTCAAAAGAGAAGTCACTTGACAGGTTGGCGCTTTAGTTCCGCAACTGGTGCGAAGTCTTTCATTTTCTTTTAAAGACATAAGACATTTGATCATTCTTTCAAAATATCCTCAAACAAATGTTCAAAAAGGACTATCATGCAGCTGTCCTTTTCAAACCAAATTAATTTTTAAGTAAGACTTTGGAAAGAATGCTTACTTAGCACATGGAAACAGAAGGGAGTCACATACTTACAATCTGCAGCAGTAAAATTGGGCAATGAATCATAGCTCTTTTCACTATTCATTATATCCTTCATAAACAAAAAGGAAAAAAAGCAGTGTCAGTTTAATTCTCTGTAATTTCTTATTTCATAGCTGTGTATATATTTTCAGCAGTACAAATGCTAAGTCTACTTCATACCTGAACTTTTAACTTATTGATATTTTATTTTGTTCTTTTGATATCATCAAGTCTAGAGTTATAAACATGCGGTGTAGTGGTTTGAGCATTGGGCTACTACTCTAGAGACCAGGGTTTGAATCACAGAAACCCATTGAGTGGTTTTGGGCAGGTCACAATCTCTCAAGCTCAAGAAAGGCAAAAGCAAACCCCCGCCTAAACAATTTTTACCAAGAACACCCTATCATAGGTTCATCTTAGGTTTGCCATATGTTGGAAATTATGTGAAGTCACACAATAACAACAGCAAGTGTTATAAATTCCAATTCCCTTCCAATTGCAGAATCTCAAATTAGATATACAAGATCTAGGAGAGATAAATTTGTGGCTTAGAGATTACATGAAATTCCACAAGTCTAATCTTTTGGTTGAAATATTTTTGGCTGATGACGTTCCCTTTATTGCTTGGGACAATGGTAATCTCATTGTAGTTTTGATTCCCCTTCTGACTGGAGGTATCTTATTTAAAAAATCAGAAGTGGCTTATTAGCATTGCTTGGTTGAGACAAAATCATTACTTGGGCTTAAATCAGGACCAAGATGCCCATAAACATGGTAAAAGAAATTTTCCCGACAGCAAGTACAATTGGCATGGTCAGCTGTCGGAGACTATGAAGCAATTTGTCATCCATGGGATTTGGAGGGCAACATTCCTCCACTGCATTTTTTAAATGGCCCAATTATTCTCTCCAAAGTAGAGAAGCAAAATTTTGCCGTTTTTAAAATCCTCTCTAGGCCATTTTTGGTGCAAAAGATGCCTTTATTTCAACTGGAAGCTGGAAATAAACTTCTAGATTGCAGAGGAGTCAGTCAGAGCAACTATCCTTTAGAAGCCTATAAACAATCTTAGTGACCAAGTTCTTTTTAGGCTCCCCCAACAATATGCATTAGAAGTGAAGCTGTGCTGTAGTACCACGTCTATTGGGAAATATGTGCAGTCACCAGAGTTGGTATAATTGCCCTTCCTTTGCAAAACCAAGAAAACGTTTATTTTTCAAGAAGGAACACCAAGTTCCTAAGACACAAACTGTTCTATTTCAATGGAGGAAGTGAAAGTAAAAGAAAGTGATGCACAGCAGTGCTTCCTCAACTGAAACATATGAGAAGGGTAGAGAATGTTATATCCAGTTCATACTATGGCATTCCCATAACTGATTGCTGGATTGGCCAAAGATTCATATGAACTCTCACCATCTTCATACTTTTGATATAGACCTATCCTGTATAATGCGGAAGCTGGCAGGTTTGAGAGTTATTTTCTTTTGTGGGATCTCCAAAGGTATTAGTTAAACTAAAGGTAAAGGTTTCCCATTAAATTAAGTCTAATTGTGTCCAACTCTGAGGGGTGTGTGTGTGTGTGTGTGCTCATCTCCATTTCTAAGAGCCGGGGATGTCCATAGACAGGTGTCTACGGCCAAGGTCATGTGGCCAGCATGACGCACTGTTACCTTACCGCAGAAGCAGTACTTATTTATTTACTCACATTTGCATGTTTTCGAACTGCTAGGTTGGCAGAAGCTGGGCCTAACTTCAGGAGCTCACCCCACTCCCTGGATTTGAACTGCCAACCTTTTGGTCAGCAAGTTCAGCAGCTCAGGTGGTTTAACCTGCTGCACCACCAGGAGTTCCATCTTGTCTCCTGCATATGTCATCAGTTGGGGACCCCTCCCCCCATCACCAAATGCTGCTCTGGGTAGAGAGAGAGAGAGAGGGCCAGAAGACAGTTCCACTTTGTCTCCTGTGCTATGCTTATAATATAATATAATATAATATATTGTATATACATATAAGATTTATAATATTATAATGTAATACAATATAATGCTAATAATAGTATGATATTAGAATTATATATTTTATATTACACGTAATATTACTAATAATATTACAATATAATGGTATAGTACAATATAGTAATATATAATACTGATATTTTACTATACTAATAATAAAATATATTGTGTGTGTGTGTGTGCGCGTGTATCTTGTAAGCCGCTCTGAGTCCCCTTCAGGTTGAGAAGGACAACATAGAAATGTCGTAAATCAATAAATAATTAGTTCAATGAATGACTAATAAAATAATTATAAATGGCAAAGTGTGACACTAAATCCACTTTCCTCATGAAGAAGTATGCAAACTGCTTTGCACTCCACCACTGTTCTGTACATAAATGGCCTTTTCTATAGAATTTGATAGGTAGCCAAGATTATTCATTTTTATTTATATTCTATCTTCCTTCCAACAAGCTAAAGACAGAAAACATGGTTTTCCTCCTTCAAAATTTATTCTCACTAAAGAACTCTGGGGTAGTTCAGGCAGATGGACACAGAGAGAATAATTGGTTCAATTTCATACAGCAAGTTTCATGGCTCAGTGGTCACAAGAACATGGATCTCTCAATCCCAGTGCAACACTCAAACCACTACGACATACTTTCTCTCACATAATGAAACAGTTCTCAGCAGTTACAAATTTCGTCTCTACCACACTATAAATGTTTTTGTTCCAATATTAAGCACAAATTAGTCTTGTTCCAAAAAAAAAGTAGGGTTTTTTTTGGGGGGGGGGGGCAGGACTCCTTGTGCTGTTTACAGTTTTGAAAGTTCCTTCATAAGAATGATCTGGCTACAATCCCAAAGTGCAACTGCCAGGGCAGCTCGATGGAGATTGTGTTTCCGAACACTTATTATCAACAGCATGCTGGCAAAAAGCTAACAGTAATGGACACGTGACTCTGTTCTGGCAGGCATTATGTTAGGCTATTGGCAAGAACTGCTAGAAGAACACAATATACTCATGAAACTCACCTCCATTATTCCTGTATAATATGAAAAAGGTGTTATCCTTAAACCTTTTACCATGATGTCAGATAAGTGGTATGGGTATAACATGAGATGATCTCTACTGTACTTTAGCAGCTCTTCATAGTATCTGCGCTCATCTTTCTTGACATGCTTCACTGAAATAAAAAAGAAACAATGGTACATTGACTAAGAGCTTCCACCAACTAGTGACAATTTTGATTTTTATGTTGAATGGAAAAGACCAATGTAAACTTGGAAGTCCAAAGGAGATTTGGAATATATTCTGGATACTGCTAGCCCATCAAAAGGGGAGAAAAGCACAATGAAATGCATCACAAAGTTGCATAAAGGCTATTTTGCAAAATAAAAGAGTCTTCTTGCAAAGAAGAAAAACTTTCCTAGGCAAGTTTTAAAGCAAGACCAGCCAACAAGAAGTGGTCAGAAGCCTGCATCAGCCTGAGTTGTGTGTACATTCACAAACTAATATATAGCATCAAATTAAATATCTGGAAGAAAAGTAATAAATATATCTCACCTAGGCCAATATATTTATGTTTTTAGTTGTTTTTAATACAATGTTAACACATATGACTTTCATCACATTTCATCTCTACAACTCAAAGAAACATACAAATTTATATGATCTCCTTGTTACAATAGTAAAATATATTTCAATGGAGATCAAATACTTCTTAGCTGTCCTTATGCCAGTTTGAAACATCCACATGATGTTGTTCCCTCCCTTCTTCGTATCAGGATACTCTCCATTAGTCATTGCAGAAGTGAGCACATCTCTCTGATGCAACTATTGTGGGCAGCAACACCCCTTAAACAAATCCTCTTTCCCTATTTTGTACTGCTTCACTCACCTAAGTTATTCCGGTACCGTAGCTGATTGCGGATACTATACAACACAACTTGCTTCTCATATTCTCGCTGTGAGTTTCCAAGACCCTATAAAGAAATATTCATTTAGAAAAATTACTAAAGGTTTCACATAATGTCTTGGTGTTATTCATAGATTAATCACTGGTTCTGGGAACACAATGATTGGAAATAAACATTACAATTAGGTGTACTTAAGATTAAATACATTTGAAGGTTTTCACGGCCGGAATCACAGGGTTGTTGTGAGTTTTCTGGGCTGTATGGCCATGTTCTAGAAGCATTTTCTCCTGACGTTTCGCCTCCATCCATGGCAGGCATCCTTAGAGGTTGTGAGGTCTGTTGGAAGCTAGGAAAATTGGGTTTATATATCTGTGGAATGCCCAGGGTGGGAAAATAACTCTTGTCTGTTTGAGGTAGGTGTGAATGTTGCAATTGGGTTTCAAGGTCTAGCTTCTTACTGCCTGGGGGAATCATCTGTTGTACTGAACACACTGTTTGGTCAATGATCATAGAGAGGTGATAAAATAAACTTTGTTATAGCTGCAGGAAAAGCATTTAATGATGCACAGCATATAAACTCATTCTCTCTGTCCTGCTGGTAGCATGCTGGTACCACCTGGTTTAGCATTCTGAAAACAAATCAAAGTAATTCTTCATTTACATTCTGTCCTCGTGTTGTTGCAAGGACGAAAGCAGAAGCTTCCAAAGTAGGTCCTCCACATTTACAGGTTGGACTTCTTTGGATCTGATTTACTCACAGATTTTATTACAATGCTCTGTCTAGGAATCTCTAGGTTCTCCACTATACTTCCATGGTCAACAACAAGCAGAGGTTGACTACAGGGTTATGCTAGAGGACCTAAAGATTCCTAGATACATATTCTCTCGTGTAGAAAAGTATTTTTTAAAATATAAGGTTTTCATTTTTAAGTGGGTCCTGTGTCCCTCATCACAGGCTCCATCTACACCAACCATTTAATGAAGTTAAAAGCTAGCTGCAAACTGTTTGGCAATGATTATGGTTGACTAATGTTCATCAGTGATTTGTGGTTTGTGTGGAAATTTATAGTATGGTTGTGAGTGCTAAAGAAGTTTGTTATTCTCCACCTAAGAGGTGATTTTATAGTCTACAATACACTGAGTTTTATCTAGCAATGTAGCCTTAGACTGTTAGATTTATTCAGTTTACTTTACATGCATACACACTATGTTTTCTCAGTTACAGAAATAATTAACTAAAGAAAGTACAGAGCTCCTATCACAAAGCACTACATACAAGACGTACACTTAGTATTTTTATTTACATTACCACAAAACATGTGACGAGAAAATACCAGCTGGTTTATGAACTGGCATAGTCTTTGAATATGTCACACAACTTCCCAAAAAACAGACTTCTTGATTGAAGACCATGTTAATATTAAAAGGAAAAACAACTACACATTGACCTTACCACAGTAGGCATTGCATCAACCATAACCATTGCCAAACTGCCTCTACTTTTCTCAATCAAATGCTGGTGGTGAAGACCAACAATGAAAAAATGGAACAGAAATGCTGTTAGAAGTATTATAAGTATTAATTTAAAATTATCACTTCTCAAAGACAATTACTGTATGTACAATTTTGCTCAAAAGAAACAGTAAACAATAGCTTTCAGGCATAATTGTCCAGGGGCAAAGAGTATTAAACTACTGGGGTTAGGGACCAGGATTGCTATCTTTTGAATGCTATTTATAAAACAACTATAAGGGCCATGTACAAATCTGTGCAAAATAATAAACCCAGACCAAATATTGCAAAAGTATAAGAAACACAAGATAAGAGAGTGTGGGGAAAGGGATGAGACTGTGTGTGAAGTCAGCATGCAATTATGGGATTTCACCAAACTTCAGATAAGTATATACTATGTTTGTTAGTTTATACAAATGCACATGCTTAAATCCATCTTGGGAGCATCCTAGAACAAGATTAAGTTAAAGCGTGAACAGATAGACAAAATAAAAACTTTAAGAAGCTGTGCTGAAACAGCATAAAGCTCTCTGTAGCCCCCTGGTTCCCAACGTGGGGTACATGCCTCACAGGGGGGCAATTTGGTTTTTAAGGGGGACAATTCAAGAATGAATTATTAACAGTGAGGTTTTTTGCATTTCTTATGGTTCTAGGGGCTTTATATAAAATATATAAATATAGATCCTTTATATAAAGACAGTGGTTCACTGGTGACAATGAAGAGGGGGAAAGCCTGCTCATAAAGAAGGAGTGGAGAGAGCATAGAGTGAACTAGAGAGCGCATGAGCACAAAAAAGGGAGGACACTTTCCAAACACCCCACTCCTCTCAGTTACAAGGTATACAAAAATGTCCTTTTGTTCTGTGTATAAATGTAGCAAGAAATCTGTGAAAAAAAATCCAAAGCACAATTATTACTTGCATAGATAAATCAGTATTTTTGTATGGGTTCTTGCATAATCTCACTAAATACAATTTGCAATGAAGTTAGACACTTCAGTTACCCTGAATTTGATGCAGGTGACTCAAATCAATTTCTTTCAAGTTAATAGCCTTGTATACTTCCTCCACATTTAGAAATAACCCTGGAAATAATCCCTCTTTGGCCGAGTAGGATAGTCTTCCAGAATCCGTATTCTTGTGGGTCCGTAGGTGACTGTGGAGCCCTATTCTTGATCTGCATCTTCTTCCACCGTGAGGGCATTGGTTTCCAGGTGGAAGGCGGTTTCGGTCGGGGCTGGCTTGACGCGCCTTCCTCTTGGCACGGTTCTCTCTTTCACCCTCCATTCGTGCCTCTTCAAATTCTGCAGCACTGCTGGTCACAGCTGACTCCAGCTGGAGCGCTCAAGGGCCAGGGCTTCCCAGTTCTCAGTGTCTATACCAGTTTTTAAGGTTGGCTTTGAGCCCATCTTTAAATGTCTTTTCCTGTCCACCAACATATTTTCCGTTCTTGAGTTCGGAGTAGAGCAACTGCTTTGGGAGACAGTGGTCAAGCATCCAAACAACGTGGCCGGTCCAGCAGAGTTGATGGCAGAGGACCATCGCTTCAATGCCGGTGGTCTTTGCTTCTTCCAGCATGCTGACGTTGTCCGCCTGTCTTCCCAAGAGATTTGCAGGATTTTCCGGAGGCAGTGCTGATGGAATCATTCCAGGAGTTGCATATGATCTCTGTAGATAGTCTACGTTTTGCAGGCATATAGCAGAGTTGGGAGGACAATAGCTTTACAAACAAGCACCTTGGTATCCCTATTATTATTATTATTATTATTATTATTATTATTATTATTATTTTTTACCCCGCTAGCATCTCCCAAAGGACTCGATGCGGCTTACAAAGGCCAAGGCCTCAAACACAACATAACAATACAAACCTAAAGCAAATTAAAAACAGTTAAAGCAATATTAAACAACAAGCAATAAACAATACACCAAGACACAATAAAACTGGGCCGGGCCAGAGTAATGGGTACAGGATTAAAAGTGCTGATGTGACAGGTGATATGTAAGGATTATAGGGTAAGTGCAGTGCGCAATAATCTTAATTCTAATAATTCTGGGACTTGTTATTGGAGTTTTCCTATTCCTATCCCTACGGATGTCCCGGTCCTCAAACATTCTCTGCTTCATTTGGAAAAATGCTGCACTCGCAGAGCTCAGGCGGTGTTGTATTTCGGCGTCGATGTTGACTTTGGTGGAGAGGTGGCTGCCAAGGTAGCGGAAATGGTCAACATTTTCTAACGTTACACCATTAAGCTGTATCTCTGGCATTGGAGAGGGGTTGGCTGGTGTCTGCTGGAACAGCACTTTGGTTGTCTCAATGTTCAATGACAGGCCGAGCTTCTCGTATGCTTCTGCAAAGGTGTTTAGAGTGGCTTGTAGATCTTGCAATAAGGGCTAATTTGTATAATTTCTCGAGCGGTGTTGGTTGTAGACATTCAGTGATAATGTGCCATGTCTCATTATGGGCCACATCCACTGTTTTAATGTGGTGAGATGTATTCCACCCTGGGCATGCGTATTCAGCAACGGAGTAGCAAAGCACAAGGGCAGGTGTCTTCACTGTGTCTGGTTGTGATCCCCAGGTTGGGCAAGTCAATTATGTTATTTCTAGCACCCACTTTTTCCCTGATAGTCAAGCAATGCTTCTTGTAATACATATCAGGATATGTCAAACTTGGGCCCTCCAGGTGTTTTGGACTACAACTCCCACAATTCCTAACAGCCTACGGCTGTTAGGAATTGTGGGAGTTGAAGTCCAAAACACCTGGAGGGCCCAAGTTTGAGAGATATGGCTTAAGTATTTAATGGACTACGGATCGCCGAAGGGGTCAATCTATCGCGGAAAGCGCGCGCCGTTCCCTACGGGTGCCGGGAGGGGTCAGCCAGTACCTGCTTGACGCTGGCGGGGAGGCGGGCCCAGGGGTAATTGTGGCGGATGTGGAACTCGACGTCCACATTCATGGCAGGCGCCCCCCGGATCAAAAGGGGACGTGGCGGCGGCCTCCTCCTCCCTCACAACCGCTTCTGCTTCGGACTTCGCTCCAGCGCAGCCCTCCTCCTCCGCCGCCGCCCCGCCCCCTTCCTTCTCCTCCCCTCACGGCGCGCTTCCGCGTTACAGGCACCGCCTCCTTCAGCCGACGTCACTTCCGGTTGTGTCGCCTCGCGAAACTACAAGCCCCGTGATGCTTTGTGTGACGTCAGCACGACTGGCCAAAGGGAGGGGGCGGAGCCTTGGCTGCTGGATCTTTTCCTCTCTATATCTATATATCTATTCCTATAGGAGTCCCCGGTGGCGCAGTGGGTTAAACCCCTGTGCTGGCAGGACACAGGTCACAGGTTCGAATCCGGGGAGAGGCAACAACTATCAACTCCAGCTCCTCATGCGGGGACATATGAGAGAAGCCTCCCATAAGGATGATCATCAAATCATCTGGGCGTCCCCTGGGCAACGTCCTTGCAGACGGCCAATTCTCTCACACCAGAAGTGACTTGCAGTTTCTCAAGTTGCTCCTGACACAACAAAAAATATATATATTCCTATATCCTCGGGGCTTCAATATTTAATATTTCTAGTATTATGAAATAATAAGTATCTGGCCACTTGGGGTGTCTCTTGTGTTGCCGCAAGGAGGTCCACCATTGTGCATGTGGCAGGGCTCAGGTTGCATTGCAGCAGGTGGTCAGTGGTTTGCTCTTCTCCACATTCGCATGTCATGGATTCAGCTTTGTAGCCCCATTTCTTAAGATTGGCTCTGCATCTCAGCGCCTTTCAAGTCGCCCAGTCTTCTGTGTGCCCAGGGGGGAGTCTCTCTTCCGGTATCACCCACGGATTGAGGTGCTGGGTTTGAGCCTGCCACTTTTGGACTCTCGCTTGCTGAGATGTTCCAACGAGTGTCTCTGTAGATCTAAGAAAACTATGTCTTGATTTAAGTCGTTGACGTGCTGGCTGATACCCAAACGGGATAAGCTGGAGATGTCACTGCCTTGGTCCTTTCACTGTTGGCTGCTACTTCCCGGCGGGTGTCAGGTGGTGCAATACCGGCTAAGCAGTGTAATTTCTCCAGTGTTGTAGGGCGCAGACACCCTGTGATAATGCGGCATGTCTCATTAAGAGCCTCTGATGTCGCTGGGAAAGACAAAGAAGCAAATTGACTGTTGCTAGCTGAAGTACCCCTCAGTGATGTCATTGGGAAAGACAGGTAGAGAAGCAAATTAGCTCTTGCTAAGTGAAGTGGCCCTCTGTGATGTCGCTGAGAAAGAGGCAGTGACATGGATTAGCTGTTGCTAGGTGAAGTGGCTCTCTGTGATGTTGCTGGAAAGACAGCCTAGAGAAGCAGGTTGGCTGCTGCTAGGTGAAGCGGCCTCTCTGATATTGCTGGGAAAGACAGAGAAGCAAATTGGCTGTTGCTAGCTGAAGTGGCCCTCCGTGATGATGCTGGGAAAGACAGGAACAGCTGGACTGTTGCTAGGTGAAGTGGCCCTCTGTGATGCTGGGAAAGACAGCTTAGAGAAGCAGGTTGGCTGCTGCTAAGTGAAGTGGCCTCTGTGATTTTGCTGGGAAAGACAGGTAGAGAAGCAAATGAGCTGCTGCCAGGTGAAGTGGCCCTCTGTGATGACGCTGAGAAAGAGGCAGTGAAGTGGATTGGCTGCTGCTAGGTGAAGTGGCCTCTCTGAGATGTCGCTGGGACAGATGGAGAAGCAAATTGGCTATTGCTAGCTGAAGTAGCCCTCTGTGATGTCACTGGGACAGACAGGTAGAGAAGCAAAGGGAAAAGAAGAGAAAGGCAGTCCTATCCAGTCAATATTAACTTGTGAACTTTACTAACTAGATTTTATTGGAAAAAGTTTTACTTGTGTGCACTTGTTACAGGTATTTTCATAGCCCTTTGTTTTACCTTGCTGTTTTAATTACGTTGTAACCCACCTTGTGCTACAAGGAAAGGTGGATAATAAACATATAATAATGATCATATTATTATTAGAAAGGGAAAAGATATGTGGGGAGGAAAGAAAAGAAAAAGAAGGGAAGGGGAAAAAGAAGGGGTGAAGGCAGGGAAGGAAGGAAGAAAACGGAAGGAAGGAAAAGAAAAAAAGTTAGGGAAAAGTATATGAGGGGAGAGCAAGGGAAGAAGAAATGAAAAAGAAAAGAGAGAGGGAAGGAGAAAGTAAAGGAGAGAAACAGAGGAAGGGAAAAACAGCCCCAAAGAAAAGGCATACGCAAGCAAATACATTAATATATACACACACAACAAAATATTACAGGTTGGAAATGGTTTTCTTTTAATAAGATCACGTTAGAAATATTTTTTAATTAAAACAATTAACACAGATGCAGTGTGCAAATGGTATGAGCGTTATTCGTTTTTCAGGTTTTTTTGTCAGGCTGGCAACGGAAGAGGAGAAGAAACAAGAAGTTGGAAAATCTAATTCTTTTCTGCCTGTAGATGTCACCCTTTACTGTTTTAATACTCACCCAATATAATGTAATTGAGGAGATGAGTTTAGCAGTGTTTCTCAACCTTCCTAATACCCCGACCCTTTAATACAGTTCCTCATGTTGTGGTGACCCTCAACCATAACATAATTTTCATTGCTACTTCACAACTGTTGTTTTGCTCCTATTATGAATTGTCATGTAAATATCTGATACGCAGGATGTATTTTCATTCACTGAACCAAATTTGGCACAAATAATACGTCCAAATTTGAATACTGATGGGGTTGGGGGGGATTGATTTTGTTATTTAGGAGTTGTAGTTTCTGGGATTTATAGTTCACCTACAATCAAAGAGCATTCTGAATTCAGCCAATGATGGAATTGGACCAAATTTGGCACACCGAACTCCCACGACCAACAGAAAATACTGGATTTGGTGGACATTGACCTTGAGTTTTGGAGCTGTAAATCACCTACATTCAGAGAGCCGTGTGGATTCAAATAATGATGGATCTCGACCAAACTTGGCACAAATTCTCTATATGCCCAAATGTGAACTCTGGTGGTGTTTGGGGAATATAGACCTTGACATTTGAGAGTTGTAGTTGCTGGGATGTATAGTTCTCCTACAATCAAAGAGCATTCTGAACCCCACCAGTGATAGAATTGGGTCAAACTTCCCACACAGATCTTCCATGACTCGCTGGCCCGAGCCTCCCTAAAGCCTTGGTTGCTCTCCCTCACCCGCACATGCATATGTGTACACACTGCCATGTGCCGAACACACCTCCTCTCCCCTCCCCACTTGGATTCTCAGAGGCCAGCCAATCACAGCAGGAGGAGGGCTTTTGGTGTAGGATTTGACATCTGTTTCCAGAAAGACAGGTGGAGAGATCTTCAGGTTTCTCTGCCAAAGGAGTTCCTAAGACCACCAGAAATATGTGTTTTCTGATGGTTTTTGGCGACCCTTCCAGGGGTCTTGACCCCCAGGATGAGAAACACTGGTTTAGAGAGATAGCACATGTCATCACTTAAAGTCCAGTTTCTGCCTCCTGTAGAATTCTGGGGTTTGTAATTTAGTGAGGCTGTAAAAGGCTCCTCCCTAAACTACAAACCCCAGAATTCTGTAGGAGACAAAAACTGGTTTTTAAGTGGATTTTTTCTCTATTGTGATGAGGCCCGAGGACCATGGTGATGCAAAATAAACAGGGTGTTCTTGCGGGACCAGCCCATTATATTTTGAGGCTGGGGAGTGTTAAATAATGCGTTACTCATTAGAGTGTGAGCTTGCATAATCTTAACTAAACAAAAAATCCAAAACTAAATATGTCCTCTTTTGTAGGAATATCATTCATGAAAGTATGCTTAGATGGGATTTGGGGAGAAGGCCTTTTCAGGCCCTTCTTCACTGCCATATAATCCATTTCAAAGCAGATAATCTGGATTTTATATGACAGTGTGTAAGGAGCGTAAGCCATTGCCAGGGGGTGGGGTGAGTGGGGGAAGGAGGTCCATCAAGTAGCCCTCTCTGCTTCAAAATTTACTTATTTATTTACTCTATTTTTATTCTGCCTTTTTCTACCCCAAAGAGAATTCCAGGTGACTTTACATATGGCAACTATTTCATGTCTTTAGACAATAAACAAATAAATACATTTAAGTGAAAATCTAAAAATACTTAAAGTACACATTAAAACCTATAACAATATAATCACTATTAAAATCACACCATCCACAATCATAATTCGGGGCCATTCCAAGCATCATTGCACATATTTCATCATTATTACGGCACTGTAGTTAATCTCCAATGGCTATTTAATGCCTTTAGACAGCACAATTAAATACATTTAAGTTAAAATTTAAAATTAGTTAAAATACACATTAAAACATATAACATTATAATCCCTATTAAAATCACACCATCCACAATCGTAATTCGGGACCGTTTCAAAAATCATTGTACATATTTCATAGTTTTTACTGCACTGTAGTTAATCTCCAAAGGCTTGACCCCAGAGCCAGGTTTTCACTTTCTTTCTGAAGGCCAGGAGGGAGGGAGCTGCTCTAATATCACTGGGGAGGCAGTTCCACAGCCGAGGGGCCACCACTGAGAAGCCTGTTTCTCATTCCCACTAGCCGCACCTGTGAAGGTGGCTGGACTGAGAACAGGGCCTTCCCTGACGATCTTAATCTCCTAGGTGGTTCACAAGAGGAGCTACGTTCAGGCAGATAAGATGGGCCGGAACCTTTTAGGGCTTTATAGGCTAAAGCCAGCACTTTGAATTGTGCTTGGTAGCAAACTGGCAGCCAGTGGAGCTGGTGCAACAGAGGGGTTGTGTGCTCCCTGTATGTCACTTTGGTGATCACCCTGGTTGCTGTCCACTGGACTATTTGAAGCTTCCAAGCAGTCTTCAAAGGCAATCCCACATAGAGCGCGTTTATTTATTTATTTATTTATTTACTTATATACCGCTGTTCTCAGCCCGAAGGCGACTCACAGCGGTTCACAACAAATAAGAACAGCAAAAATTCAATGCTACAGTGTAAAAACAGTTAACAACCTAACACATTACATAATTAATAAACAATTACTATAATAACCATTCACTATTCACTATCGTCTCATCATCAAAAACATGATCCAGAT